CACATGCCCAGCTGAGCCGCACAATCATCAGAGGCTTTTTCTTTATTTTTAAAATCATTTTTTCTGCAACCTCTTTGGTGGAAAAAATGCTTTTCAAAGAAAAAAAAAAGCCTCTGATGATCTCGTGGCTCAGCTGGGATCGTCAGAGGCTTTTAAAAGCATTTTTTTACAACCTTTTCGGTCGAAGAGGTTGTAGAAAAAATGGTTTTAAAAGTAAAAAAAATAAAGTTGGCCACACCCACCCAGTTACATTACCCCCACCACCACCAACCCACGCCCACAGAACCGGTAGTAATAAAATTTACATTTCACCATTGCAGCGAACCAGTAGTAAACTGGTTCAGATTTCACCACTGCCCTGAACCGGTAGTAAAACAGGTTCCTAAGGACAAGTAATGACAAGCCGTGACAGAGACGGTGTTAAAAAAGGCTTCTAAAGAAGCAAACGATATTGCGAGGGAGAAGACAAGGTTTTCTTGCATTCTTTCATTCTTTAGATATGTTCAGGAGAAAGGGAGGAGAAAGGAACCCCATCTGTTCAGCAAAGATGCTGGGATGCCAACAGGTGACCAAAGAAAAAAGAAAAAAAAAACTCAGAGCCCTGCCTACTCTTCCGTCTCTCTGACAGGGAATTCCGCAGGGAGATGAGGAAAAACGAAATAAAGAGACGTGATTGAAGTGCCAGACTTACAGAAATAGGCTCAGAGAAAATCTTTTTTTTTTTTTTTTTAGAATGATTTTGAATCTCCAGGGAACAGAGGGATTGTATCCGAAGACGCTGAATGAGCTAATGAAATGTTAAATCTTGGTTAAAATATCAGATGCAAAACCAAATGCACAGATGGCAACTGGCTCTATAGTAGTAACTGGGAGAGGGATCTTAACAGAATAACAATTCTGGAAGGGAGCCTGGAGGTCTTCCAGTCCAACCCCCTAATCAGGCAGGAAACCCTCGTTCATTTTAGACAAATGGCTCTCCAATCTCTTCTTTAAAACCTTCAGTATCAGAGCACCAAAACCTCCAGTATCGGAGAACCAAAACTTCCAGTATCGGAGAACCAAAACCTCCAGTATCGGAGAACCAAAACCTCCAGTATCGGAGCACCAAAACCTCCAGTATCGGAGAACCAAAACCTCCAGTATCGGAGAACCAAAACCTCCAGTATTGGAGAACCAAAACCTCCAGTATCGGAGCACCAAAACCTCCAGTATCGGAGAACCAAAACCTCCAGTATCGGAGAACCAAAACCTCCAGTATCGGAGCACCAAAACCTCCAGTATCGGAGAACCAAAACCTCCAGTATTGGAGAACCAAAACCTCCAGTATTGGAGAACCAAAACCTCCAGTATCGGAGAACCAAAACCTCCAGTATCGGAGAACCAAAACCTCCAGTATCGGAGCATCAAAACCTCCAATATTGGAGAACCAAAACTTCCAGTATCGGAGCACCAAAACCTCCAGTATCGGAGCACCAAAACCTCCAGTATCGGAGCACCAAAACCTCCAGTATCGGAGCACCAAAACCTCCAGTATCGGAGCACCAAAACCTCCAGTATCGGAGCACCAAAACCTCAGTTATCGGAGCACCAAAAACCTCCAGTATCGGAGAACCAAAACCTCCAGTATCGGAGCACCAAAACCTCCAGTATCGAGAACCAAAACCTCCAGTATCGAGAACCAAAACCTCCAGTATCGGAGAACCAAAACCTCCAGTATCGGAGAACCAAAACCTCCAGTATCGGAGCATCAAAACTCCAATTAGGAGAACCAAAATCTCCAGTATCGGAGAACCAAACCTCCAGTATCGGAGAACCAAAACCTCCCAGTATCGGAGAACCAAAACCTCCAGTATCGGAGACACCAAAACCTCCAGTATCGGAGCACCAAGAACCTCCAGTATCGGAGCACCAAAACCTCCAGTATCGGCAGCACCCAAAATCCAGTATCTTGATTTTTCAAGATTTTTGTATAGGGCACCAAAACCTCCAGTATCGGAAACCAAAACCTCAGTATCGGAGAACCAAAACCTCCAGTATCGAGCACCAAAACCTCAGTATCGGAGAACTAAAACCTCAGTATCGGAGAACCAAAACCTCCAGTATCGGAGAACCAAAACCTCCAATATTGGAGAACCAAAACCTCCAGTATTGGATCTTGGAGTCCTAGTGGACAATCACATATATATGAGTCAGCAGTGTGCTGCAGCCACCAAAAAAGCCAACCCAATCCTAGGCTGCATTAACCGAGGAATAGAATCAAGATTACGTGAAGTGTAAACACTTTATAAGGCCTTGATAAGGCCACACTTGGGATGTTGCAGGTGTGAAATCCAGCAGGTTCCAACAGGTTCTGGAGAACCGGTAGCGGAAATTTTGAGCAGTCTGGAGAAACGGCAAATACCATCTCTGGCTGGCCCCAGAGTGGGGAGGGAATGGAGATTTTGAAGTATCCTTCTCCCTGGAATGGGGAGGGAATGGGGATTTTGCAGTATCCTTCCCCTGCCACATCCACCAAGTCACACCCACAGAACCCACAGGTAGTAAAAAAAATTGGATTTCACCACTGGGCTGTTGCATCCAGTTTTGGTTGCGATGATATACAATAGATGCTGAGACTTTAGAAAGGAGGATGCTACATTTAACAGTGTCTGTGACTTCTTTCAATTTTCTTGTACAGTTTTCAGGGAGCTAGACCAATGCGACCTCTGGTTCTCAGATAGATAGATAGATAGATAGATAGATAGATAGAGAGAGAGAGAGAGAGAGAGAGAGAGAGAGAGAGAGAGAGATGATAGATGGATAGAGATAGATAGATAGATGATAGATAGAGATAGACATGGATGATAGATAGATATAGATAGATAGATAGATAGATAGATAGATAGATAGATGATAGATAGATAGATAGATAGATAGATAGATAGATAGATAGATAGATAGATAGATAGAATTCTTTATTGGCCAAGCGTGATTGGACACACAAGGAATTTGTCTTTGGTGCATAGGCTCTCAGTGTACATAAAAAGAAAAGATACATTCATCACGAATCATAAGGTACAATACTTAATGATAGTCATAGGATACAAATAAGCATTACAAATAAGATTATGTGTGAAGGGTGGAGAGAACTCGACTCTAAATTTTTGCCAAGTATGTCTGTGTTCACACAACATGCCAAGGCCAGAGGCATTGACAGCTTTTTTAGCCTGAAGCTTGCACGGACTAGTTAGCCTTCAACTTAGATTCTTGGTGGCTTTTCAGTGAATCCAATTCATCGAGTAAGCTAATGCTGTAAACGCCTTTCGCAAGCAAGAAAATCAATCCATTCGGTAGGCAAGCAAATTGTGTCGTGTGAACCCGTGCGATTTCCCCTAGGAAGTCAACTCATCTTCCAGCATCAACGCATCATTCAGTCACTACATCTGTATGGGGGGAAAAAACCCGATGCTAATTCCCATGCTAATTTGTGGCAAGTTTAAAGGCACAGTTGGAAACGTTTAGGTGCCCTTTTGTTATGTATTTTTGCCACATTTGCTTGAAAACGATAGAACGATTTTGTTTTTCCTGAGTCCTTTTTTCTAGTCCATACATACATGGAAGAAAGTAATTTATCTGACTTACGACCAGTCCTCGCACTTACGACCCGACTCATTTGTTTGCTTTTAATACTGATCAGCTGTAGGACGGCCCTTTGAAGCCCTGCGGCAAGAATTTAAACAGTTTTTTTTCCCTCTAGCCATCAGCTGGGACTCAGGAGGCAGCAACAGATTGGGGGTGGGACCAAATAAAAGGTAAGAATAACGTGGGTGGGGGGGGGTGGGAGGGTGGGGGAACCGGTTCGGTGACGTCATATCATCACCGCTACCGGCTTGGCTGAACCGGACCGAACCGGGAGGAACCCACCACTGGCAGGGAGGTCTACTAGGCCCGAAAAGGGGCATGGGGGGGTGCGGCCCCCTGGCCTGTTTTTTCTCCCAGGAGGCTGTAGGGAGGCCTACTAGGCCCAAAACGGGGCATGGTGGGCAACGCCCCCCCTGCAGCCCGTTTTTCCTCCGAATGCTGCCTGTCATATCTCATGGCCACGCCCACCATGGCTACACACACCCAGCCTGTCATTAGGGTATTACCGCCGTCCACTTGCGATCTACGGGAGCCCTTCCTTTCTTGTCACCCCTTCAAGGTGACGTTTGGCCCCTAGGAGCCCCTAGGCGCCTCCAGGCAGGCAGAAATCATCTGAACTTCGCAGAGCTCCGCAAGTCATGGCTGTCACACTTCAGCGCCATGCCCACCATGGCCACACCCATCCAGTCAGTCATTAGGGCAGAGAACCAATTGTTAAATTATTTGAATCCCACCGCTGGTCGTAATTCATGATGGTCATACAGTGGGTGGGTCATGTGATCCACCCAACTTTAAGGCCTCTCTTGCGGTTGACGTTAAGCAAATGCCGTGGACAGAAAACAAATCAATGGTTTTCTATGGGCACAGCTTTGCTGAAAACTGGAAGAAAACGGTGGTTTCCTGCAAAGCCATCATCAAATGCAGTCACGTGTCCAGCAGGCACTACAAACAGCAGCACAGATAGTCCTCGATTTACAACCATTCATCTAGTAGCCGTTCAAAGTTACAACGGCCCTGAAATAAGTGCCTTATGACCATAAGATTCATAATCTGAATCTGAATCTGAATCTGAATCTGAATCTGAATCGAACTGAACTGAACTGAACTGAACTGAACTGAACTAAACTAAACTAAACTAAACTAAACTAAACTAAACTAAACTAAATATCCTGTTTCCCCCCAAATAAGACCTCCCCTGATAATAAGCCCAATTGGGGTTTTGAGCTCATGGCAATAAGGCCAAGCGCTTATTTCCGGATTAAAAAAAACTTAAGACAGGGTCTTATTTTCGGCGAAACACAGTGTTAAATTAAATTAAATCTCCCATCCCACCTTATCTCCCCATCGACCACTAATTATCTGCAGCGATTCTAACTTACCGGCAAGGAAGTTGAATATAAAAGCTAAACTTGAGCATCTGGTCCTCATGTTATATGCCTGCATACTGTTCTTTCTTTGTTCCTCGGCAGCAATGCGGCTGCTGATGTAAGCTGGAGGGTCTGGGACGTTATTTTGAGCAATAGCCCGGCCCCTCCCACCTTCCCTCCCTCCCTCCACTCACCCACCCTCATGGCAACCCCCTCCCCCCCCCATTTCCAAGATAGTTGTGGCTCAGCTGTTATGCTGGGCATTGTCAGCTGTTTTGGGGAGGTTGGCAGCCCATCGCTGGGAACAATGCCTTAGACTGAAGAGGGAGGGGTCCTTTTTTAATGACTGCCTGTTCTCATCCCGTTCCTGAATACCGGAAAACTGTAAGCCCTCATTGTGATATGGGGAGGTGATCAAATTTCTAGGTTCTACCATATCGCAAGATCTAAAATGGGCAGCTAACATCCAAAACGTCATCAAAAAAGCACAGCAAAGAATGTTCTTTCTGCACCAACTCAGGAAGCTCAAACTGCCCAAGGAGCTGCTGATCCAGTTCTACAGAGGAACTACTGAGTCTGTCAACTGCACCTCTATAACTGCAACCCAACAAGACAGACACAGACTTCAGAGGATCATTAGAAGTGCAGAAAAAACAATGGCTACCAACCTGCCTTCCATGGAGGACCTGTATGCTGCACGAGTCAAAAAGAGGGCTGTGAAAATATTTACACACCCCTCACATCTTGGACACAAACTCTTTCAACTCCTACCCTCAAAACGACGCTATAGAGCACTGCACACCAGAACAACTAGACACAAGGACAGTTTTTTCCCCAACGCCATCACTCTGCTAAACAAATAATTCCCTCAACACTGTCAAAGTATTCACTAAGTCTGCATTACTATTAATCTTCTCATCGTTCCCACCACCCATCTCTTCCCACTCATGACTGTGTATGACAGTAACCTTGTTGCTGGTATCCTTACGATTTATATTGATATTGTTTCCTGATTGCTTATTTGTTCCCTATGACTATCATTAAGTGTTGTACCTTATGATTCTTGATGAACGTATCTTTTCTTTTATGTACACTGAGAGCTTATGCACCAAAGACAAATTCCTTGGGTGTCCAATCACACTTGGCCAATAAAAAATTCTATTCTATTCTATTCTATTCTATTCTATTCTATTCTATTCTATTCTATTCTATTCTATTCTATTCCATTCCATTCTATCTGCCCTGGAGAGGGAAAGGTTGAGAAAATGCCAAGGCTAACTTCATTAAGCCATGAATGAGCCAAGTTAGCAATGTATTGAGCCTGAGTGGCGTAGGAGGCTAATGCCTCCTACTAAGGCAGCATTTAACATCCAGCTGCCTGCAATTACTGCGAGTTCGAATCTCGCCAGGCTCAAGGTTGACTCAGCCTTCCATCCTTTCTAAGGTAGGTAAATTGAGGACCCAGATTGTGGGGGCAATAAGCTGACTTTGTATAAAATAGACAAAAGTATGAAGGCTATTGCTTAATGCATTGTAAGCCGCCCTGAGTCTCTGGAGAAGGGCGGCATATAATAATAAATAATAAATAAATAAAATAAATAAATAAATAAATAATAAATAAATAAATAAATAAATAAATAAATAAATAAATAAATAAATGTCAGAAAGTGCCACGTTAGTCTCCGGTGGGGAAAAAAAGGATCAGAATTCCTATAGCCCCTTCTTCGACGGACAGATTTTAAACCAAGTTCAAACTTTCATAATTTAGGGTTAAAATTTGTCCGCTGGAAAAGGCGCAACCAGATTACCAGATTTTTCACCCTGACAACCGTTGCAGCATCTCTGTGGACACGTGATCAAAATTCGGACGCTTGGCAACTGACTCATATTTATGATGGCTGCAGTGTGTGTGTGTGGGGGGGTCATGTGATCCCCCTTTGCGACCTTCTGACAAGCCCAGTCAGTGGGGAAGCCAGATTCACTTAACAGCCATTTACTAACTTAATAGTTGCAGCGCTTCATTTAACAACCGTGGCAAGAAAGGTCGTAAAAGGGGGCAAAACTCACTTAACAACTGCCTTGCTTAGCCACGGAAATTGGGGGGGAGTTCAATTGTGGTCGTAAGTCGAGGACTAATTGTACTGATTCTTTGCCAAGTTGCCAAGACTGTCATTGTCCAATCCAGAAAAAAAAAACCCAACCGGTTTCCATTTTTGGAGGGATACAAACTGCCCACTCTTTAGAGGCTGCAAAAGGAGAAAGACTCACTTGGCATAATCGCTGCTACTCCTCAGTCTGCTGATCTGTAAAATGGGAACAAAGAATTGGTTTCCTTACAATGGGCAGAAAGAAAAGCTGGTATGTCCGACTGCAAATTCTCAGCTAAGTTGAAACTCTCTTCCACGTGGCTTACACTTCAGAGCATTAGCCTCTGGAGAAGTGTGTCTAACTCACGTGTGTAGTAAGACCACACTTGGGATATTGCATTCATTTTGGGTTGCCATAATGCAAAAAAGATGTTGAGAGTCTAGAAAGGTGCAGAGAAGAGCAATGAAGATGATTAGGGGGCTGGAGGCTAAAACATGTGAAGAACAATTGCAGGAATTGGGTATGTCTGATTTAATGAAAAGAAGGACTAGGGGAGATATGATAGGAGTCTTCCAACATCTCAGGGGCTGCCACAAAGAAGAGGGAGTCAAGCTATTCTCCAAAGCCCCTCAGGGCAGGACAAGAAGCAATGGATGGAAACTCATCAAGGAGAGAAGCAACCTAGAACTAAGGAGAAATTTCCTGACAGTGAGAACAATGAATCAGTGGAACTACTTGCCTCCAGAAGTTGTGAATGCTCCAACACTGGAAGATTTTAAGAAGATGTTGGATAACCATTTGTCTGAAGTGGTGCAGGGTTTCCTGCCTAAGCAGGGGGTTGGACTAGAAGACCTCTAAGGTCCCTTCCAACTCTGTAATTCTAAATGTAGAACACCGTTTTCCTAAAATGCATCAGGATTAATTTAATGTGTTCAGACATGATCTTAAACCACGCAACAGCTTGCCTCCAGGAATTGTGGATGCTCCGACACCAGTGATGGGATTCAACCGGTTCGCACCACTTCGGCCAGACCAGTTGTTGCTGGCCGGCCCCTCCCCTCCCCTTCCAGAAGTCCCCATGCACCCGGTTTTGGCTCCCAGGTAAGTGCAGGGAGGCCTACTAGGCCAAAACAGGGAGCAGGGGGGATGCGGTGCATTCCCCACCCCCCTGCAGCCCATTTTTGCTCCCAGGAGGCTGCAGGGAGGCCTACTAGGCCCAAAACAGGGTGTGGCGCCCCCACCTCACCCGCAGCCCGTTTTTGCTCTCAGGGGGGTGCAGGAGAACAAGTGTTAGCTGTCACACCCTCTGGCCACGCCCACCCTGGCCACGCCCACCCAGTCGGTCATTAGGGCAGAGAACCGGTTATTAAATGATTTGAATCCCATCAATGTCCAACACGAGAAGTTTTTAAGAAGAGATTGGACAACCATTTGTATGAAATGGTATAGGGCAGTGTGATGGCTAACCTTTTTGCCATTGCGTGCCAAAAGCGGGGGGGGGGAGCGGGGGGGGGGGGTCGCGGGCGTGTGTGGCCACATCCATAATTCCTTTGCCCCCCGCCCCCCCACGCTTGCGTGCGTAACCCCCTCCGCACTCCTCCTGCTTTTGGCACGAGATGGCTCAGTGGGCCCAGTAGGCCTGTTTTTCGCCCTCCCCAGGCTCCGGAGACTTTCCTGGAGCCTGGGGAGGGCAAAAACAGCCTTCCCCACCAGTCGGAGGCCCTCCAGAGGCCGGAAATGGCCTGTTTGCCAACTTCCGGTGAGCCCAGAAGGCCCGAAAACCAGCTGGCTGGCGCGCACATGAGTGCCAGAGCTGAGCTTGCGTGCCCACCGATATGGCTCTGCGTGCCACCTGTGGCACGCGTGCCGTAGGTTCGCTATCACGGGTATAGAGTTTCCTGCTGAAACAGGGTTGGACTAGAAGACCTCCAAGGTCCCTTCTGTTGTTCTGAGTGGTGCAAACATCCTCAAAGAATGTAGTGGAGTACCCCAAATAAACCATCTTTTCTGACATTTCATTTCTGCAAAAAAAAAAACAAAAAAAACCCCAACCATCCAGCACCTGCTTACAAATATCTCTGTTGAATGAGGATCCTATTTCCCAACCTTGCAATCTCCAAGACGGAATATAAGATCTGCATATTTTCAGCGCTATTATTTGGCGATATATTTTTAGTTTCAGATTGTTTGGCACCACTCACTCATTGTCTGGACGCTGGGGTTTGCTGAAGCTGTGTCAGCCCTTTGAAACAGGCCAGCTCTCCAAAACATCTTGCCATCTCCATTTCGGTTTGATTCGGTTTCCAAACTCCAGGCCCTGATTGGGTCTCGGTGTTGCATTCACACGGTTTATTCAGCTGGATTCGGCTTCCGTTGTTGTGGAATGAAGAGACCAAACAACATTCCTGGGTCAGCCAGAGACAGTTTTTATTGCGCAAGGTTCAGAGGCAGATTGGTTCTTGCTATCTGAACAAAGGAAAGAGATCTAATACCCCTGTTTTATACTTTTCCAAGACAAAGGATTTTGCTAGTACAGCAGTTTTCCATATATGGTTAACATACATCCGTTACATGATAATTGACATTTCCTAATTACTAAATTCCTGCCCTAATTTATAGTACATGAGATAATTTTAGCTAAACATCCTCCTTAGTTCTGTATCCGTGATGCATAGATTTATGGCTTCCTTTGAATAATAATTAACTTCTGGTTCCATATGGATGTCCTTACATTCTTGACAGCTAGGTTCTTCAGAAGATATATATATATATATATGGGTCTTTGGTTATTCGGGTCTTCTCCCACGTAAAATTGGAAGTGTCTTGGCGACGTTTCGATGAAGGGATGTAATTTATCTGACTTAGTGTAATCTTCCAAACAAATATTGTTCTTCCAAACCAGCACATTTCTTTCTTACAATAATGTGAATAAGGAGGGCCCTTCAGTGTTCATATAGCTGATCCTGCATCATTCACATTACCGTTTCTTCTGATTTGGTTTTAGAAAATTTAGATGACCTGTTTAAGCATCTAAAGTGCTTCATTCAGTAAAGATAACGCAGCGGTGAAATCTAACATTTGTTACTACCGGTTCTGTGAGCGTGGCTTGGTGGGGGGCGGGGGTAATGTGACTGGGTGGGCATGGCCAATTTTTTTTTTTTTTTACTTTTAAAACCATTTTTTACATGTAAAACCATGTAAAAAATGCTTTCAAAAGGCTCTGACGATCTCAGCTGAGTTGCCTGATCGGCAGGCAACTCAGCTGGGATCGCCAGAGTTTGGATCGTCAGAGCCATTTAAAAGAAAAAAAAAAAGCTCTGATGATCGCGCGGCTCAGCTAGGCAGGGGGGGGGGCAGGGATTTTTGCTACCGGTTCTCCGAACTGCCCGCCGCCATTGCTACCTACTCGGTCCGAACCGGGAGCATTTCACCCCTGGATCAACGCACTATGAAGCAATAAAGCAAAGAATTAAAGGCAATACCCCACACACACACACAATAAAAGAACACAGCAATGGCATGCAATAAACTGAATTAATTTCACTGGGATTAAAAATTACTCTTCCATTTAATTTAACAGATTAACAAAGTTGGAAGGGACCTTGGAGGGCTTCTCATCTAGTCCCCTCTACAAATTCAGTCCAATTTCTTCTTAAAAACCTCCAGTCATGGAGCATTCACAACTTTTGAAGGCAAGCCATTCCACTGATTAATTGTTCTCACTGTCAGGAAATTTCTCCTTAGTTCTAGTGTAGGAAGTTAGCACCCAGGGTTTTCCTAGAAGAATGAAATATTTTAGGAAATATTAAAAAGGCAGAATATTGTGTTTCCCTGGTTGAGAAATGGAGAAACATGTTTTAAAGACAAAGCAGCTCCCACCTTCCTGCCTCCCCCCCCCACCCTTTGTTAATGGGCCAGAGGCAGAAACTCAATCTTTGACAATAGGAACACCATCTGCAACACAATAGCAACAGAAACTAACACAATGGGACCCATCTAGGACAGAAACTCACCACATGGCACCTGGGAAGATTACATCAGCCAGCAAGGCTAACTAAGACCCCCCACCCCCTGGGAGTCTGACAACCAATCAGGATACTCTTTCGGAGCCCCAGGAAGTTCAAAGCCAGAGAAAGCATAAAACCCGGGGACTCACTGTATCTCGACCCCTTTTCTGTTCAGGAACTCAAACCATGTGATCCTGTCCACCATTAAACCATCTTTCCCAGTAGTCTCCATGTTTCCAGTGTATTTTTCCCCACTTGGAGCTGAACCCAGAAGGATATTTCTTCTTACACTATATTGCTTCTCTCCTTGATGAGTTTCCATCCATTGCTTCTTGTCTTGCCTTCTGGTGCTTTGGAGAATAGCTTGACTCCCTCTTCTTTGGGGCAGCCCCCCAAATATTGGAAGACTGCTATCATGTCACCCCTAGTCCTTCTTTTCATTAAGCTAGACCTACCCAATTTCAGCAACCGTTCTCTGTATGTTTTATCCTCCAGTCCCCTAATCATCTTTGTTGCTCTTTCTGCACTCTTTCCAGAATCTCAACATCTTTTTTATATTGTGGCAACCAAAATTGGATGCAATATTTCAAATGTGGTCTTACCAGGCATTATAAAGTGGCATTAACACTTCACTTGATCTTGATTCTTCTGTTAATGCAACCTAGGATTGTGTTAGCTTTTTTAGCAGCTGCCGCACACTGCTGGCTCAGATTTAAGTGATTGTCCACTAGGACGCCAAGATCCATCTCACAGTTACTACTATTGAGCCAGGTACCACCTATACTATACTTGTGAATTTGGGTTTGTTCTTTTTGGTCTAAGTGTAAAAAACCTTGTTGGAATGTATTTTTATGCAACAACTACAGGAGTATTTAGCCAGTAGATGGCAGTGTTTTCAAGTTTGGATCTATGGTATATACTCTAGGCTCTTTTGTTCTACATAGAGTTTTCTGTTTCCTGTTATAGATAAATAATTGAGCAGTAATGCACATGGTGACTGTACTTTGTATTTGCTTTATATATAAAACAGAATTTCTAATGTACTTTTCTCACCATCGGATTTTTTTTTTTTTGTTAGAATTTCTTTTAGTTTTGTTTATCATCCACCCATTTACAACAAAGACAGAATAGCAGAGTTGGAAGGGACTTTGGAGGTCTTCTAGTCCAACCCCCTGCTCAAGCAGGAAGCCCTATACCATTTCTGACAAATGGTTGTCCAATCTCTTTTTTTAAAAAAACTCCCGTGTTGGAGCATCCACACCTGTTGGGGACAACTTGTTCCACTGATTAATTGTTCAGTGACTTATTTGTGGATGTGTATTTCAGAAAATCACAATAGCAATCAATGTTTTCATCATTTCTCTCCTCCCGGAAACGCTCTGGCGGCAGCTGTCTCTCCCGTAACCTCACCCTGAGGTTTTGCATTCTCAGCCAGGGAGCTTCAGCTGCTTTGTATGTAATGAGACCTGTCTTGAGAGAGCTGTTTCCCAATGGGCTTGAGCACTTCTCTTTGACGCCTAACCTCCTGACCTTATTTCCACACAACAGCTGGCACAACAGCTGGTAGGAGGTATGCCCAGTCCCTAGCATTAAAAATAAACCCAAGGCTCTCAACAGTTTATAGCTGTGATGGCGAGCCTATGGCAAGTGTGCCACAGATGGCACACAGAGCCATATCTGTGGGCACGCAAGCGTTGGCCTAGCTCAGCTCCAGCACACATGCACGTGCCAGCCAGCTGATTTTCAGGCCTTTTTGACCCACCGGAAGCCAGGAAACGGGCTGTTTCTGGCCTCCGGAGGGTCTCTGGGGGGTGGGGAAGGCCATTTTCACTCTCCCCATGCTCCAAGAAAGTCTCTGGAGCCTGAGGAGGGTGAAAATGGGCCTATTGGGCCCACCAGGCCATCGTGTGCCAAAAGCAGGGGTCGCGTGGGGGGTCACGCACGCATGCACAGGGAGCAGGGGGGGGCATCTCCTTGAGTGCGGAGTTAGACAAAAAGTCATGGAAAATTATTTCAGTATATGTGATTACTGCAACAAGATTTATGCACGAAGATGGAAAGATTCTGCCCTTACCCCCTGTGCGGGAATGGATGGTGAAATTGACAGAACCCGCGAAGATGAATAAACTAACTTTTTAAAAATAAAATAAAAAATCATCAAAAGCCTCAGAAACAAGAACAACCAAAGCATCCTTTTGCCGTGTCAGATTTTCCCAAACATCCCTGGGAAGTAGCCTTTATTAAACTCTATTTCTCATTCATGGCAGCTTTACGATGTCTGGACTTCAACTCCCAGCATTCCCCAGGCGGCATAGAATTCTGGGAGTTGAAGTCCAAACATCTCAAGGTATCTAAGGCTAAGAAACCTAAGGAATAAAACAGAGGCCTTCAAACTCGGCAGATTTAAGACTTGTGGACTTCAGCTCCCAGAATTCTCCAGCCAGCATAGACCAATGGTCTCCAAATTTGGCAACATTAAGACCTATGGACTTCATCTCCCAGAATTCCTCAGTCAGCAAGGCTGGCTAGGGAATTCTGGGAGTTGAAGTCCATAAGACTTAAAGGCTGGCTGAGGAATTCTGGGAGTTGAAGTCCACAAGTCTTAAAGCTCCCGAGTTTGAAGACCTCTGGAATAAAATGACAACAAAAATAAAAAAATAATAATTTAAGGGAACACAACCCTCCAGATATTTGGGGTGAGGGAGCCACAGCAAGGGCCTGTAGGATCTCTCATCACGATCCACCGAATCCGGCAGCTGTGACAGATGTTCTGATCCGCAGTGCTGGTGGCCTGAGCAGGGCAGCCCTCCTCGGCTTTAGATATTGTAAGATCCCAAAATATACTTGAATCACCAGAATGCGAAAGAGGGAGACTCAAGACGAGGCTCGCAAAAAGAAGCAGATTTTATTTATGGCCAAAAACAAAATACTGGGTGGGACTCAGGGGTGAAATATAAAATTTGTTACTACCGGTTCTCTGGGCGTGGCTTGTGGGGGGTTATGTGATTGGGTAGGCATGGCCAACTTTTTTTAAAAAAAAAAAACTTTTCAAAGCATTTTTTCTAATGCTTTGAAAAGCCTCTGCCGATCAGGCAACTCAGCTGGGATCGTCAGAGACTTTTCAAAGCATTTTTTTTTACCACCTCTTCGGCCAAGAGGTTGCAGTAAAAAAATGCTTTGAAAAGCCTCTGACGATCCCAGCTGAGCCACGCGATCATCAGAGGCTTTTTTTTTTACTTTAAAAAGCATTTTTTTGTCGGAAGAGGTTGTAGAAAAAATGCTTTTAAAAGTAAAAAAAAAAAAAAAAGACCCTGATGATCAGGCGGCTCGGCTGGGCAGGGTGGGGGTGGGGGGGGGGGGGCGCAGGGATTTTTGCTACCGGTTCTCCGAACCACCCGCCGCCATCGTTACCGGATCGGGCGATCCGGTCCGAACTGGGAGCATTTCACCCCTGGTGAGACTATACCAAGAACATACAGATACAATTGCATGTGAGGAGATAGCCACACCTTGGGGAAGGTCTGGCGTCCTTTTTATACCCTCAGAGACATCAGCTTAGTACCCAAATTCTGGCCTCCTAGGTTAGGTTTGTGTATTTGTGTAGAAGCCTCCCAATTAGCGTTATCTTTTTTCTTGAGCGTTCCTTTGTTCTCCCAATTGCTCATTTGGCCCCCTGGTTCTGCAAGGAAGGAGCTTATACAGATCAAAGGTGTAAATTAGAGCTGAAGTGTAAATTATCCCTCGGATGATGTCTCCAGTTCCAACTGAGATACCTACCGTGCTCTTAGACGGCACAAGAAAAAACAGGAAGGAGATTGATATGGGTTCAGGTCAAATGGCAGGAACATACAATTGACAAATAGCAGAGACATTACACAGGCCTAATAACAGAATATGTTCGTTACAGGAGATACAAATATAAAGGCATAATATATGTGAATACAAATACAAAGGCATATATGCATTACAGGAAGCTAATGGTTACAGAATCTAGTATACCAGTATATCATATTCTAGTATTATTTATTATATCCTTATTATTGTTACCCTTCAATAAATCGTGGGGTATAGTTGCTGTAGTTATAAGGGTCACCCTCAAAGGGGAGGTGGGGAGGGTGATTGAAGATTCCCACCAAGAAGATCCATAAGGTCCCAAGGATCAGAATGGGAGTGACCAAGAAGAGACAGAGGCGGTCCACGGTCCGAGCCACGCGATTCCAGTTGTCCTTTTCCTGCAAGGATTGGAAAAGGGCCAAAGACTTCATTACACCTGCAAGCAACTCCAAAGCTGAGTCCACAGCAGGAAAAGTCTGATAAGACTTAACATTATGGACTTCGACTCCCAGAATTCCCCCGCCAGCCTTTAAGACTTGTGGACTTCAGCTCCCAGAATTCCCCAGCCAGCCTTGGGGTCACGTGATTCCCCTTTTGCGACCGTCTGACAAGCACAGTTAATGCGGAAGCCAGATTCACTTAACAACTGTGTTAGTAACAACTGCAGTGATTCATTTAACAACTGAGGCAAAAAGGTCGTGAAATGGGGCAAGACTCACTTAACAACTGTCTCAGTTAGCCACAGAAGTTTTGGGCACAAATTGTTGTCGTAAGTGAAGGATTTAGCGGGTATTCAGCTGAAACGTCTCCTTGAGTGCGGAGTTAGACAAAAAGTCATGGAAAAGTATTTCAGTATATGTGATTACTGCAACAAGATTTATGCACGAAGATGGAAAGATTCTGCCCTTACCCCTATGCGGGAAGGGATGGTGAAATTGACAGAAACCCGTAAGATGAATAAACTAACTTTTAAAAAATAAAATAAAAAATCATCAAAAGCCTCAGAAACAAGAACAACCAAAACATCCTTTTGCCGTGTCAGATTTTCCCAAACATCCCTGGGAAGTAGCCTTTATTAAACTCTATTTCTCATTCATGGCAGCTTTACAATGTCTGGACTTCAACTCCCAGCATTCCCCAGGCGGCATAGAATTCTGGGAGTTGAAGTCCAAACGTCTCAATGTATCTAAGGCTAAGAAACCTAAGGAATAAAACAGAGGCCTTCAAACTCGGCAGCTTTAAGACTTGTGGACTTCAGCTCCCAGAATTCTCCAGCCAGCATAGACCAATGGTCTCCAAATTTGGCAACATTAAGACCTATGGACTTCATCTCCCAGAATTCCTCAGTCAGCAAGGCTGGCTGGGGAATTCTGGGAGTTGAAGTCCACAAGACTTAAAGGCTGGCTGAGGAATTCTGGGAGTTGAAGTCCACAAGTCTTAAAAGGCTGGCTGGGGAATTCTGGGAGCTGAAGTCCACAAGTCTTAAAAGGCTGGCTGGGGAATTCTGGGAGTTGAAGTCCACAAGACTTAAAGGCTGGCTGAGGAATTCTGGGAGTTGAAGTCCACAAGTCTTAAAGCTGCCGAGTTTGAAGACCTCTGGAAAAAAATGACAACAAAAATTTTAAAAAAAAATAACTTAAGGGAACACAAACCACCCTCCAGATATTTGGGGTGAGGGAGCCACAGCAAGGGCCTGTAGGATCTCTCGTCACGATCCACCGAATCCGGCAGCTGTGACAGATGTTCTGATCCGCACTGCTGGTGGCCTGAGCAGGGCAGCCCTCCTCGGCTTTAGATATTTGTAAGATCCCAAAATATACTTGAATCACCAGAATGCGAAAGAGGGAGACTCAAGACGAGGCTCGCAAAAAGAAGCAGATTTTATTTATGGCCAAAAACAAAATACTAGGGGGGGACTCAGGGGTGAAATATAAAATTTGTTACTACCGGTTCTCTGGGCGTGGCTTGTGGGGGTTATGTGATTGGGTAGGCATGGCCAACTTTTTTTAAAAAAAAAAAACTTTTCAAAGCATTTTTTCTAATGCTTTGAAAAGCCTCTGCCGATCAGGCAACCAGCTGGGATCGTCAGAGACTTTTCAAAGCATTTTTTTTTACCACCACCTCTTCGGCCAGAGGTTGCAGTAAAAAAATGCTTTGAAAAGCCTCTGACGATCCCAGCTGAGCCACGCGATCATCAGAGGCTTTTTTTTTTTACTTTAAAAAGCATTTTTTTGTCGGAAGAGGTTGTAGAAAAAATGCTTTTAAAAGTAAAAAAAAAAAAAAAAAAGCCTCTGATGATCATGCAGCTCAGCTGGGCATGGTGTGTGTGTGGGGGGGGGGGGGGCGCAGGGATTTTTTGCTACCGGGTTCTCCGAACCACCCGCCGCCATCGTTACCCGGATCGGGCGATCCGGTCCGAACTGGGAGCATTTCACCCCTGGTGAGACTATACCAAGAACATACAGATACAATTGCATGTGAGGAGATAGCCACACCTTGGGGAAGGTCTGGCGTCCTTTTTATACCCTCAGAGACATCAGCTTAGTACCCAAATTCTGGCCTCCTAGGTTAGGTTTGTGTATTTGTGTAGAAGCCTCCCAATTAGCGTTATCTTTTTTTCTTGAGCGTTCCCTTTGTTCTCCCAATTGCTCATTTGGCCCCCTGTTCTGCAAGGAAGGAGCTTATACAGATCAAAGGTGTAAATTAGAGCTGAAGTGTAAATTATCCCTCGGATGATGTCTCCAGTTCCAACTGAGATACCTACCGTGCTCTTAGACGGCACAAGAAAAAACAGGAAGGAGATTGATATGGGTTTCAGGTCAAATGGCAGGAACATACAATTGACAAATAGCAGAGACATTACACAGGCCTAATAACAGAATATGTTCGTTACAGGAGATACAAATATAAAGGCATAATATATGTGAATACAAATACAAAGGCATATATGCATTACAGGAAGCTAATGGTTACAGAATCTAGTATACCAGTATATCATATTCTAGTATTATTTATTATATCCTTATTATTGTTACCCTTCAATAAATCGTGGGGTATAGTTGCTGTAGTTAAAAGGGTCACCCTCAAAGGGGAGGTGGGGAGGGTGATTGAAGATTCCCACCAAGAAGATCCATAAGGTCCCAAGGATCAGAATGGGAGTGACCAAGAAGAGACAGAGGCGGTCCACGGTCCGAGCCACGCGATTCCAGTTGTCCTTTTCCGCAAGGATTGGAAAAGGGCCAAAGACTTCATTACACCTGCAAGCAACTCCAAAGCTGAGTCCACAGCAGGAAAAGTCTGATAAAGGACTTAACATTATGGACTTCGACTCCCAGAATTTCCCCCGCCAGCCTTTAAGACTTGTGGACTTCAGCTCCCAGAATTCCCCAGCCAGCCTTTAAGACTTGTGGACTTCAGCTCCCAGAATTCCCCCAGCCAGCCTTTAAGACTTGTGGACTTCAGCTCCCAGAATTCCCCAGCCAGCCTTTTAAGACTGTGGACTTCGACTCCCAGAATTCCCCAGCCAGCCTTTAAGACTTGTGGACTTCGACTCCCAGAATTCCCCCAGCCAGCCTTAAGACTTGTGGACTTCAGCTCCCAGAATTCCCCAGCCACCTTTAAGACTTGTGGACTTCAGCTCCCAGAATTCCCCAGCCAGCCTTTAAGACTTGTGGACTTCAGCTCCCAGAATTCCCCAGCCAGCCTTTTAAGACTTGTGGACTTCAGCTCCCAGAATTCCCCAGCCAGCCTTTAAAGACTTGTGGACTTCGAACTCCCAGAATTCCCCCAGCCAGCCTTTAAGACTTGTGGACTTCAGCTCCCAGAATTCCCCAGCCAGCCTTTTAAGACTTGTGGACTTCAGCTCCCAGAATTCCCCAGCCAGCCTTTAAGACTTGTGGACTTCAGCTCCCAGAATTCCCCAGCCAGCTTTAAGACTTGTGGACTTCAGCTCCCAGAATTCCCCAGCCAGCCTTGCTGACTGAGGAATTCTGGGAGATGAAGTCCATAGGTCTTAATATTGCCAAATTTGGAGACCATTGGTCTAGTGGCACTTGGGCAGCAGGCTAAGCTTGAAACTTAGTTAATTAAGTTAGTTGCTTAATTCAGCAACCAGTTGTGAGTTGTGACAGGACAGCACACCTCTCTGTGGGTTTCCCCATTTCTGGCCAACTGTTGACCACATTCTGCTGCAGAAAATGAATAATATATATTAATTTGGTTTATATGCCGCCCTTCTCCGGAGACTCAGGGCGGCTTACAATGCGCTAAGCAATCGCCTTCATCCTTTTGTATATTTATACAAAGTCAGCTTATTGCCCCCACAAACTGGGTCCTCATTTCACCTACCTTGGAAAGGATGGAAGGCTGAAGTATTGAAGTTATAGCTCGTGATTGGGCTAATCGCTTTGGCTACATTCATCTCAAAGTTTACCGTGTTTCCCCGAAAATGAGATCCTGTCTTATATTTTTTTGAACCCCGAAATAAGCGCTTGGCCTTATTTTCGGGGAGATCTTATTATTTTGGGGCGCGTGGAGCAAGACAGGACTCCTCTTGCCATCTTACCTGATTTCCAGCTCTGTCTCCCTAACCCTAACCAGAGGAAATGGTGGGGATTGGTTATGCATGCGTTTAAATATTTTTGGGGAGGGCTTATTTTCGGAGAGCTTTCGGAGATGTTTTTTTTTTTAGCACATGCGTTCAAAAGCCCGATTGGGCTTATTATCAGGGGATGTCTTATTTTCGGGGAAACACGGTATTTATTTTATGCTTTTACAGATAGTCCTCAACTTACAACAGTTCATTTATTGACCATTCAAAGTAACAGTGGCACTGAAAAAAGTGACTTATGATTATTTTTCACACTTATGACCATTTCAGCGTCCTCACACTCCCGTGATCAACATTCAGGTGCTTGTCAACTGACTCATATTTATGACGGTTCCAGTGTCCTGGGGCCATGCAATCATGCTTATAAGCCAAGTCAACGGGGAAGCCAGATTCACTTCACAACCGTGTGACTCACTTAACAACTGCAGTGATTCGCTTAACAACGGTGGCAGGAAAGGTCGTAAAATGGGGCCAAACTCGCTTAACAACTGTTTCACTTAGCAACGGGAAATGTTGGGCTCAATTGTGGTCGTACGTCGAGGACTACCTGTAGTGCAAGCACCCGGTTGGGAAAATCTGTTCTCAACCACGCTCAGAAGGATAGTCTGAAGAAGCAAAGATAAGTTGGTGACCCCACTGGTCGCGTCACACCCCCTACCTCGTTGTACTTGTTCTTTTCCTGCATATGTTTCACGATGAAGTTGGCTCCAGCAATGGCTGGCTTAATCTCGTTGTACAGCTGGTCCTGCAAATCGCCTGCCCTGGGGGGGCTTGGTCCTGGGGGGAGTGAAAAGGAAACTCTGAGTTAGGGACCGAAGAGATCTAGAGAGCTGCAATACGAGAGCCGGGGATGGCGCAGTGGTCAGAATGAGGTATTGCAGGCTAAATCTGCCCACTGTCAGCAGTTCGACCCTAACCGGCTCATGGTTGACTTACACTGTCTTTCTTGGTTCTTATAGCTCAGAGCAGCAGTGAAATACACTTACCTTCACTACCGGTTTGGGAATGTGAGCGCGCGGACCTCGTCTACGCATGCGCAGAGGGCCAAAAACGGGACATAATGACGCCCCGACAGGTGGACAGAGCTTCCCGCCACCGGTGCTACCGATTTGCGCGAACCAGATAGATCTGGCCGGATTTCACTGCCGGCCCAGGGGTCAGTAACCCGCAGCTCTGGAGCCACATGTGGCTCTTTCATCCCTCTGCTGCGGCTCCCTGTCGTTGGTTGGCTCCACAATTGATAGGGCAGTGATGGCTAACTTTTTGCCATCTCGTGCCAGGAAGGGGGGAGGGCAGGGGGGGTCGCACGCGCACATGCCCACACCCATAATTCTATGCGACCCACCCGCTCCCCCACTCATCCCACTCCTGGTACGCAATGGCCCGGAAGGCCCGTTTTTCTTTCTCACCTGGCTCCAGGATCTCTCTCGGCGTCTGGGGAGGGCGAAAACAGCCTTCCCCACCCCTCCGGAGGCCAAAAATGGCCCATTTGAGAACTTCCAGTCCCATTGGAAGCTGAGCTCGTGTGCCCACTGATATGGTTACGTGTGCCACCTGTGGCATGCGTGCCATAGGTTCGCCATCACGGTGATAGGGCTTTTGGTTAGGATAGGTAGAGGGGGAAAAAATGCCACGCTAGGAGAAGTCTCTATGGTGGGGGAACCAGACTTCCGGTCTGCTCCAGAATTGAACGGGGGGCTTCCGGTTAGAACCTTTGTGGCTCTTTGAGTGTTTAAGGTTGCCAACCCTTGTTATAACCTGACAGGTATCTGTCAGCCATTGTCTTCCTACATGTCATGAACCAGGGAATTTAATGAGGCTGGATTAGAGAACTTTTCAGTGGCGCCCACGCTGCCATGAGACATGATGGCTTACCTATAACCACTGGGCCCATCCTCCTCTGCCACTCCCATTCCCCTTTTGGGCCTTACGTGCAGGGGTAATCCGGCTAGTTAAGCCATGCCTCTCCGACTGCTTCTCAAACATGAGCTCGCTGCGGGATTTAATGGTGAAATATTCCTCCGCTTTGACGATGTAACCAACGGAGCTAGAGCGCCGGATCAGCAAGCCATCCTGCGGCGTGAAGTCGCTCTCCGCTGGCTTGGACATGTGCAGGAGGCGAGGAAGGGTGTCAAGGAAGAGCTGTGGATAGAAGAAGGAAAAGGGAAAAGTTTGTTTTCAACATTCCAGTCTGGGCAGCAGCTTAAAGATCTCCTGATGGTGTCCCATCCAAGTGCCAAAAGAAACCCAACTGGATTAGATGCAGCCACCGAGTTGCGCATGCCAGAATGGGCCCCTTTTAGAACTGCACAACGCAGAAACGATGGAAGCGTGTGTCCCAAAAGGTGCTTTTTTTTTCAAGAGGCACCTGGACTTCCTTGTTATTCTTTTGAAGACATTTTGCTTCTCATCCAAGAAGCTTCTTCAGCTCTGACTGGAGGTGGGGGAGGGGAGGAATAGAAGGATTAATACCCCTTGCTGGTCTTCCGGGTGCGCTTCAAGGTGTTGGTTATCACCTTTAAAGCACTCCATGGCATAGGGCCTAGCTATCTTCGAGACCGCCTGCTGTTACCGACGAGCTCCCATCGACCCGTGTGCTCCCACAGAGAGGGTCTCCTCAGGATGCCATCAGCCAAACAGTGCAGGCTGGTGACCCCCAGGGGGAGGGCCTTCTCTGGGGGGGCACCTACCCTCTGGAACCAGCTGCCCCCAGAGATAAGAAGAATTCAAGACCTCAGTGCCTTCCGCCGTGCCCTTAAAACCCACTTTTTCCAGCAAGCCGGGCTGGCTCAACTTTTTTTTTTTTCCTTAATTTTTTAAATGTTTTAAATGGGTTTGTTATTGTTCTTAAATTACGGGGCCAAATTTATATATATTCTTTTAATACTATTTTAATGTTTGTAATTTATGTTTTTATTCGGCTGTACACCGCCCTGAGTCCTCAGGGAGAAGGGCGGTATATAAATTGGATATAAAATAAAAATAAATAAAATAAATTTGCATTCTTTTAGAGAGTCGTTGAGGCCACTTGGAGGTTTGAAAGAGGGGTTAAAAAGGCCATCTATGTCCAAATTGAAAGCCCTCTCTCGACCCAGGGGAAAGGCGACAACATCAGGGTCCTTTCAGCAGTTCCAAGAAGGCTCCCCAACCATTTTTGCACAGGTTTGCCTGGTGCACCAATTGCGACCCTACTTGGATCGGGACCCAACTCTTCTCACGGTCACTCATGCCCTTGTCACCTCACGGTTAGACTATTGCAACACGCTCTACATGGGGCTACCCTTGAAAAATGTTCGGAGACTACAGTTGGTCCAGAACACAGCAGTGTGAGCTGTCGTGGGTGCACCTAGGTACACCCACATTACACCAATTCTCCGCGAGCTGCACTGGCTCCCTATTGGTCTCCGGGTAGAATTCAAGGTGTTGGTTATTACCTTAAAGCTCTACATGGCTCAGGGCCAGGTTATCTTCGAGACCACCTTCTGCCGCATAGCTCCCAGCAACCGGTAAGATCCCACAGAGTTGGTCTCCTCCGGGTCCCGTCAGCTAAACAATGCCAGCTGACGGGCCCGCGGGGGACGGCCTTCTCTGTGGCTGCCCCAGCTCTCTGGAACCAGTTACTTCCTGAGGTCCGGACCATCCCCACCCTATTGGCCTTCCAAAAAACGGTGAAGATCTGGCTTTTTAGGCAGGCCTGGGGCCGTTGATCTCGCTCTTGCGATCTGGTGAGATCCGGCCATGAATCGTGTGAATGGGTTTTAATTGTTTTTAATGTTTTAATTTTTAATGTTTTAATATATGGTTTTTAAACGCATTGTAAGCCGCCTTGAGTCTTCGGAGAGGGGCGGCATACAAATTGAATTAATAAATAAATAAATTATTATTATTATTATTATTATTATTATTATTATTATTATTATTATTATTTATTGAATTTATATACCGCCCTTCTCCCCGAAGGGACTCAGGGCGGTGAACAGCCGAAAATTAAAATAACATACAATATAAAAGTTAAGATAACTAAAAATAAATTAAAATAATCGGCCTCCCAATTTAAATAATAAATTTGCACCACTCAGGTGACCCTGAGGACACAGATAAACCTCCAAGTGGTCTCAACGACCCTCTAAAAGGATGCAAATGACCATCTATCTACAAGGAGTATAAATCCTTCCATTCCTCACCATCCAGTTAGAGCTGAAGAAGGTTATTGGATGAGAAGCGAAACGTCTTCAAAGAAAGTCCAGTTGCCTTAGACAATGGAAGTATTTGATGCCTATGGAGATTCTCGGTCATCCAGGTCCTTGTGGTTTTGTCCCAAAGTTGCTTTTTCAAAAGGCAACTGGGCTTTGTTTTTCCTGGAAGATGTTTCACTTCTCATCCAAGAAGCATTCAATCAGAACTGAGGATGCTTCTTGGATGAGAAGCGAAACCTCTTCAAGAAAGAAAAAAAAGAAAGTCCAGTTGCCTTTTGAAAAAGCATCTTTGGGACAATGAGAAGTGTTAGCAGTGGTTAACAGTATGTGACAAGAGACGCCATCAAGGGAATCGATATATATAAAAGCGAAATACCACTCACGCATCATCACGAAATCTCCAGAACCATAAAGCCTACAAACTTGAAATTTGGCTCGTATGTTCCTCTTGGCTTCTAAGTGCTCGCTAAGAAAGGATTTTTCGAAATGACCATCAGATCATTAGTATTTCTTATATTATTATTAACCCGCTCTGAGGCTAAGGAGTTAGACGTTCTATTCCCCCTCCCCACCTGAAAAGAACTCTGTTCCAATTGCCACTTGGGTGTGGGCGTGGCCAGCGCGTGACTCATCTGGCCTGAGAGCTGGGAGTTTAGATATTCTACTCCCCACCTGAAAGGGAGAGAAGGGGATAAGATAGGAGAGGCTTCCATGGGGCAAGCCTGAAAGAGAGAAGGGGATAGGAGAGGATCATTGGGGCCAGCCTGAGGGAGAGAAGGGGATAAGATAGGAGAGGCCTCTTTTGGTCAAGCCTGAGGGAGAGAAGGGGATAAGATAGGAGAGGCCTCTGTGGGGCAAGCCTGAGGGAGAGAAGGGGAGAGGAGAGGCCAATCGTAACTATTCATTAATTTTCAAGCTGTAAGTGTCGATTTATCAAGCCCGATCACCTAGTTTCGTAGCAGAGCACGGGTATCCAGCTAGTGGTTAGATAAGAGGCTGCTTAGCCTGCAGCTACATAATAGGCAGGGCAAGAGACTTAGAAGGGACTCTCCCTAGTTTCTTGGGATGTAAAGGAAACAGGAGAAAAAACTTAATTCGCAAAATTCTGTTAATGTGGCTTCCCAATCAAGTAGGATTAGTTCATCTGGTTGTTATTTCCTGTCTGAGCCCACTCTGATAAACCGGATTTTCTAAAATTACAGGGAACCTAGAAAACGGGTTAATTCAGGCCCTGCTTCAAACAGGTTGCCTGAACAGAGTTTCTGAATTTACTGGAGACCAAGCATTTTTGTCTCTTTTTAATTTATGGCAATATCGACTTGGGAAAATTAGTCCTTGATTAACAGCTACAATTAACTCCAAAATTTCTTGTTTCTAAGCAAAGACGGTTGTTAGGTGAGTTTTGCTCCCATTTTGTGACTTTTCTTGCCACAGCTGTTAAGCGAATCGCTGGTCGTAAGCGTGAAAATCCATCCCAAGTCCCCCCCCTTTTTTTTTTCAGTGCCTTTAGAACTTTGAACAGCCATTCCATTGATTTATTTTTTTATTCTATTTAGAAAATTTATACGGCCACCGACTCGCCATGGCAATTCAAGGCAGTGGTTCCAGGAACAGTTGCAATTCGAGGGTTATCTATAGTTTGGATTGTTCCTTCCGGCTTACCTCTTTTGTCCATTCAGACAAGATGTGGATGCTGGGGGTCCGAAAATGAATGTTGAGCTCCACGGTGCATGCCACCACCACTGCAGTCACCAGAATCATGATGAAAGAGCAGGTACCTATCAGCATCATACATGACCATTTATAAAATAGCCGTATCAATAGCACTTAGATTTATATACCGCTTTACAGTGCTTCACAGCCCTCTCTAAGCGGTTTACAGAGTCAGCCTCTTGCCCCCAACAATCTGGGTCCTCATTTTACCAACCTCGGAAGGATGGAAGACTGAGCCAACCTTGAGCTGGTCAGGATCGAACTTCCTAGCTGTGGGCAGAGTTAGCCTGTAATACTGCTTTCTAATCACTGTTCCACCACAGAAGGGAGGGAGGGAGGAAAGGAAGGAAGGAAGGAAGGAAGGAAGGAAGGAAGGAAGGAAGGAAGGAAGGAAGGAAGGAATAGCACTTAGATTTATATGCCGCTTCACAGTGCTTTATAGCCCTACTCTAAGCAGTTTACAGAGTCAGCCTCTTGCCCCCAACAATCTGGGTCCTCATTTTACCAACCTCGGAAGGATGGAAGGCTGAGTCAACCTTGAGCCTGGTGAGATTTGAATTGCCAAATTGCAGGCAGTCAGCAGAAGGAGCCTGCAGTACTGCACTCTCACCACTGCGCCACTGTGGCTGAAGGCTAATATTTTCAAATGTTTATTTCCTGCTTCTTTTTGCCTTCCAAAGTGTCTCGGGAGAGTTCTGAAGGGACTGCTGGGACAGGAATTGCTCCATGCATGGGTAATGACATCACACATGCGAATAATGCCATGACATACATGACATCAGAGGAGCGTCAGTATGCTCACAGTCTGTAGTCAGTTAGTCCTCAACTTGCGACAATTGGGATCAGAACTTTTTACACTAAGTAATGCGGTCATTAATAGCAATAGCGATAGCATTTAGACTTATATACCACTTCACAGTGTTTTATAGCCCTCTCTAAGCAGTTTACAGAGTCAGCCTCTTGCCCCCCAACAATCTGGGTCCTCGTTTTACCCACCTCGGAAGGATGGAAGGCTGAGTCAATTAAGTGAGTCGCACCCAATTTCACGACCTTGTTGCTGGCGCAGTTCCTCCCACTGATTTTGCTTGCAGTGTGGCCCCCGGGAAGGTTGCAAATGGAGATCCCATGATCTCGGAATGCTGCAACTGTCATAAGTACATGCCAGTTGCCAAGCATCTGAATTTGGATCAGGGGACAGCTGCAAGGTCGTAAGTGCAAGGACCGGTGCTAAGTCCCTTTTTTCCATCGCTGGCATCACTTTGGTTGTTAAATGAATGGTCGTAAGCTGAGGACTAGCTGCAGGGTATATGATGAAGATGTTTATTTATTTATTTATTTTATTTTATTTATTTTATTAGTCATATTTCTATGCCGCCCACTCTCCGAGGACTCTGGGCGGCTTACACCAAAGGCAGTATACTAAATAGCATATTGCCCCCCAACAATCTGGGTCCTCATTTTACCCACCTCGGAAGGAGGGAAGGCTGAGTCAACCTTGAGCCGGTGAGATTTGATCCGCCGATCTGCTGAACTAGCAGTCAGCTGAAGTAGCTGCAGTACCGCGCTCTAACCACTGCGCCACCTCGGCTCTTTGAATCAGCACAAGGGGGAAATAGATCTGAGTGCAGCCTTGGGCATAGACTTTCAGCCAATTGCATTCTTTCAGGCCAAACTACCTCGCAGGTAGTGGCGGGGAAAAATAGGAAGAGGGACCACTGCATACGCCCACTTGAATCCATAAATGAATGGTGAGATATCACCAAATCCTATCACTCATGGCTTTGATGAAATCTCATTTCAAGAGGAGAGGAGAGGAGAGGAGAGGAGAGGAGAGGGGAGGGGAGGGGAGAGGAGAGGAGAGGAGAGGAGAGGAGAGGAGAGGAAGAGGAGAGGAGAGGAGAGGAGAGGAGAGAAGAGAAGAGAAGAGAGAGAAGAGAAGAGAAGAGAGAAAAACCTCTGAAGGCTCCCAATTTAGGGAATTTTATTTAAGTTTGTTATAAGCTGGATCTAGCCCAATAACTCAGAGACAGACTCCAATTCTTTTCTGTAGCTTTATTATTGATCTATTGGTACTGGAGGTCACTGACCTTGTACCTTTCTCTTTCAGGTATACATCTGGAATCATCTGTGGACCATGTGGTTGGACCTTTTGTACCCAGGAGGAGGGGCTAAGAGGTAAGGAGTGGTTATAAGGATTATGGGATATGTGGTTAGTTAACCCTTGAAGGTCCGGGTGATCAGGGAGACATAGTAGTTAGGCATTTATCATGACAAAACCCCCTCTAAATGCCTAACTGGGTACCTGGGGCGGTGTTTGCATACATACAGAGAATACACTGGTACAGGCATGAATTACAAGCAAACACACATTTTTGACATGAGGTAAGCATGTTGTTTATGTGGTAGGGTTTTAGTGAGAATATCTGCTGTTTGCTCCTCTGTGTCACAGTGCACTGCCCTAATGAAACCTATCTCTGAAAACTGCCTGACGTGTTTGTATTTAATGTCAATGTGCCTAGAACGCTGACCTATGGCATCGGCCCTAGAGATCTCTATCGCTGCCTTGTTGTCTTCGTGGATAACTATTGGATATGAGGGTTCAGCCCAGATGTCGCAGAGCAGGTCATCGAACCATACTAAATTGTTTGCGGCCTTTGATAGGCAAACAAATTCTGCTTCCGTAGTTGATGTGGCCACCAGTTTTTGCTTTCCAGTGTACCAATGGATGGGGCAATTGTTGAGTAGTAGCACGTAGCCTGAGGTGCTTTTTCTGCACTCTACGTCCCCAGCCCAGTCAGCGTCAGCATAGCAGGTTAGCTTTGGTTCCTTGGATGTTTCTGGTTCTAGGCAGAGTAGGGCATCCGCACTGAATTTTAAGTATCTAAGTAGTCTTTTGATGGCGTTCCAGTGTGTTACCGTAGGTTTGCTTACATGCCTGGACAGCAGGTTGACGGCTAAGGCGATGTCGGGCCTGGTCCAGTTGGATATGTACAGCAGTGACCCTATCGTTGATCTATACAATTTGTTGTCTGTGAAAGGTTCAGATTCCTCATACATGGTCTTCAGGAACTCGGGTTGCATGGGGGTCTCGCTGGGTTTTGCTTCGGACATGTTGCATTTGGACAGCAGCTCAATGATCTTTTCTCTCTGGGAGAGGCGGAAGCCCTTGTTGGTTTTTATCACTTGGACCCCTAGGTATCTATCGATCTTTCCAAGTGACTTTAGGGAGAAGTGGCTACCCAGGTCAGTGGCAAACTTGTCACACCTGTTCTTGTGTTTGCTGATGTACAAGATGTCGTCCACGTAAACGAGCACACCTTCGAATGTGTTGTTTTCTCTCCTCGTAAAAAAGCATTTGTCGGCTGAGGTGGCCTCGAAGCCCATGGATCTGAGGGCCTTGGCCAAGCAGTCATACCACCTTTTGCCCGACTGCTTGAGCCCGTACAGGCTTTTATTCAGCAGCCAGGTTTGGTTCTCGCCTTTGTTGTACCCAGGCGGCGCTTTGACGTATATTTCTTTATCCAGCTCGGCGTGCAAGTACGCTGTTTGTACGTCGAATTGGAAGACCTCCAAGCCCAGGATGGTGGCCACCACCAGGGCGCTTTTGACGCTCTCCGCCCTGACGGTTGGCGAGTAGGTGTCCGTATAGTCTTCGGGGTATCTTTGGGCGAAACCCTGCGCGACTAGTCTTGCCTTGTATAGGACCTTGTTGTCCTCTAATGTCTTAACCCTGAACACCCATTTGGTTCCTATTGGTTTTTTGTCCTCTGGAACTTGGGCAGGTGAGTATACCTGGAGGTTCCTTAGGCTTTCCATCTCCTTCTCCATGGCAAGCATCCATTTTTCTTTCTCTTCCTGGGGAGCCCGAGGATGTCTTCATATGAGCTGGGCGTGAAATGGGTGTTGTGGATGGTCATAACGTAGTCCTCTAACTTCTTTGGTAGCTTGTTTCTGGTTTCTCTGATTGGCCTGCTGGGGGTTGGCTCGGTTTCCTGCATGATGTCTGCCTCTTTGTCCGTCAGGTCATCTATCTTCAGTGAAGGGTGCCCTTCTTTCCAACCTTTGACGCTTGCCTTGCGATGGTTGGTTTTGTGCCCTGTGACCTCTCTGACCTCCCTTTCCCCTTGGCCATGCTCGAACGTGACCCTATTGGCTGGGATGTCATTGGAGTGTACCCTCGACCAGTTTGCGTTTTCGTGGAAACTGGCTGATCTGGAAACCACAAAACGGTTATTGTTGTCGACAAATCTGTAGCCCTTTGTGCCCGGTTCGTAACCCACGAACCTCAACCTTTTTGATAATTTCTCCCCTTTTCTTCTTAGCTGTCTGGGAATGTGGACATCAGCTGGGGCGCCGAATATGTGTAAGTGTGCAATGTTGGGCTTTCTGTTGTATAGCATCTCGTATGGTGTCTTATTGATAGAGCTTGACCACAGTCTATTCAGGGTGTAATTAGCGTAGTGTAATGCCTCTGACCAGAAATGCTGCCCCATCCCAGCATCCTCCAGGGCGCATCTCATCATGGTTTGCAACACCCCGTTTTTTCTCTCTGAGACTCCATTTTGAAAGGGGGAGAAAGGTGAAGAGGTGTAATGCGCTATGCCCTGCTCCCTCAGCCACCTTGTGAATTCTTTGGCCATGAATTCTGAGCCCCTATCAGTCATTATCTGCCTTATTCTCATGTTATGTTGCATATCTACTCTTCTGTGGAATTCCTTAAACCTTTGGAACACTTCGTTTTTGTGTCTGAGGGAGTAGACATACCCGTATCTGGTGTAGTCATCCACAATCGTGAGGAAGAATCGCTTCCTATGTCCTACAGAGGGTTTCATTGGCCCTACCAAGTCCATATGCACCAATTGGAAGGGGTATTCCGTGGTTCGTTTGGATCCCCTGGGGATGGCCTTAACCTTGATCTTAGAACGCTTACAAACTGAACACTCTAAGTAGTTTTCGCAGTTCTTTACTTTGAGACCTTCGGTACATTCCGTCATTTTCTTTACAATGGGGAAGCTTATGTGTCCCAGTCTCCTGTGGAGGAGGTGGGCGCAGTTATCATGCAATGGCTTGCCGATAGATACAGACTTGTTTGTCTTCTCATGGCTACATCCTGCCTCCTGCTGCACCCCCTCTGTTTCTGGATACTTATCTACCTCGTGGTTTGTGCTGGCATCAATGCCTTCTTCCTCCCTTGCGTTGGGTGTGAAGTAGGGAAGCCCCTCGTGTATGGTTACCTTTCCTATCTCTTTCCCTTGCTTGATCAAGTGTGCCTTTCCATCTTTAAATTTTATTTCTATATTTGTGTCTCGTGTCAGCTTTGTGATGGCTAGCACGTTGTGGGGGATCTCTGGTACGTACAGTACTCCTTTTAGGTCCCCTACCTGTGTGATGTGTACGTTTCCCTTTCCCACTACTTTGACCTTGCTTTGGTTTGCCACCTTTATTTCTGAGTCTATTTCGGTGAGTGAGTCTAGCAGCTCTGGGTTACAAGTAGTGTGACTTGTGGCTCCTGAGTCCAGAAGCCATGTGTTTCTCTCTACCTTATGTTTGTCATTTGGGTCATCGTGCCTGATCCCGTACATGGAGCCAGAGTTACTGTCCCTGGAGTGGTCTCTGCGCTCGTGGTGTTTCCTGGGGTTGGGTGACCACCCTCGCCCCCTTTCCTTTGGGTACCTGCGTTCAGGTGACCTTCCCCCTCTACTGTCGTGCTGTCCCCTATCCCTATGGTTCCTGGGGCAATCCTTCTTTAAGTGGTTCCTTGATCCACAAGAATAACATTCTGAGGTATCCCTGGCCCTATCCTGGAAATCCACCCTCTTTGTGGGTCTAGGGTCCCCTTTGGCTAGTTGGCGTTCCCTCCTCAGAGTGTCCTCTGCAACGAGCTGACTGGTCAGTGCGCCTAGTGTGAGGTATTGCAAGTTGAGGCTATTTAGTTGGGTCATGAAGCTGTCCCAGCTGCTATCAAGAGAGTTTATGATTATGCTTATCATGCTCTCTTCAGTTATGATTTCCCCCCTCTGCATGAGTTCTGCCCTTGCAGCATTCATTTTTAAGATGTGCTCACTCATGGGGACCCCTGCCTTATGCTTGGTGGAGTGGAACTCCCTAGATAGTCTAGTGGTAGTGGCTCTGCTTTGGCTATAAAACAGGTTACATAGTTTTTGCATAATATCATAAACAGTTAGATTGTCCTCAATAGATGGATACATAGCAGATGGAATGGAGGTTAACATGATACAAAATGCCCTGTGATGAATGCAGTCAATTTCCAGTGACCAGGGCTTTTGGGGAGGTCTGTTAGCTAGGAACAGTGCATTCTCTCTCATGAGAGCAACTCTTAATTGTTGGCTCCATTCTATAATATTACCCCCATCTAACTGCAATTTTGGCAAATTGGCATAATTTGCCCCAGAAATGTTAGTAAGGTTACTTACTGGGGGGAGCTGTCCATGGTCCAAAATGTGATTAAACTCACAATAAGGCTTTGGGATGTCTGTGGCCATTCTGTACTTGCTTGGATCTATGTAACTTGCTTCTCTTGTTACAGGCAGGTACTGGGCATGCGCGAAGCTCATTCCGCGCTGGAGTCCATCGGGTGAGGTTCCTGTTGCTGGAGCTCCCAGGCCTAGGCCTAGGCCTGTCGGTGGGAGGCTGGACCCACCCCTGGTGGGTCCGAAGATTCCCCCTGAGGCTGGACACCACTGCTGGATGGCCGGATCCCCGGCGAAGAAGGGCAGAAGGTGAGGAGGCGACGCGGTCGCAAGTCGAGGACTTTCGCGGTCGGCGGCGCGGCAGCAGCGGAGGTCGTAGGTTGAGGATTCCCTGCACTCAGCGGCTCGGCGGTAATGGCGGCGGCGGCGGTGGATCCTCCCTCGTGGTCGCTGGTCCCTGGTCGCGTGGACTGGCCTGATGGATGTCGTGGCGTGGGTGAGTAGCCGGTTCTTCTCTTCTCCCTCGGGCCTCGCGTTGTTGGTGTAGCGGATGGTGAGTTCGAGTTCTGCAGTTGATTCTTCCTGCAGGTGGGCGGTCTTTTGTGCCGGGTGTTGGTGTGTGCGGTGTTTTTAGTTGGCTGTGACTCGGTTGCCTGGTCTTTGTTGGTTGTCCTGGCCTTCTTGTGCTTTCCAGGATTTTTCTTTGGTTTATTGAGTGCCGCGGGAGGCTCGAAAGCGGACCCTAGGGCAGCGGTGATGGTCTCGATTGCCTTTTGCAATTCGAGATCGGTAGGCATTTTTCTTTTTATTATTGTGGTCTCTTCGTGGTCGCTTTCAGAGCTGGGCTCTTCGTAGTCGCTTTCTGAGTCCCCCTCGTCTGTTTCGGGGTTCGGGCATTTTCGCGCCAAGGGATTCAAATCCTGGCTTCCCATTGGCTGGTGCTCGTCCCAAGATGGCCGCCGGGAAGGGGGCGCGGAAATGGGTTCTGCCGGCTCAGGATCATCGGGTTGGGGTGGCTTACCCTTTTTTGCTGGTTTTTCTTTCTCGGTGGTCTTTGGGGCCTCAATCGCTGCTTCTTGTTGCTCGAAGAGGCTTTGAAGGTCCGCGATGAGGTTTTCTTTGTCGCTGTTTCCCTCCATCAGTTTCAGGATGGAGAGTTTGAATTTATTCATTTTCTGTGCTGTTTCTTCTTCCGGGGCGGTGATCTCCTTGGATGGCCCCTCTTCATCTGATTGTGAGTCCAGGCTGGAGTCCTGCTCGCTTCCAGCTTCTGTCTCCTCCATGGCTGTGGCTTTGGTTGCAAGCTTCTCAGCCATCTTCTTGGTAAGAGCTCTGGTCTGTGCTCTGTTTGCTTCTTCAGGGTAGGTGTTGGGTTCAGTCATTGTCTGGAGTTATGGGCAACCGACCTCTGCTACCAATTTGTTATAAGCTGGATCTAGCCCAATAACTCAGAGACAGACTCCAATTCTTTTCTGTAGCTTTATTATTGATCTATTGGTACTGGAGGTCACTGACCTTGTACCTTTCTCTTTCAGGTATACATCTGGAATCATCTGTGGACCATGTGGTTGGACCTTTTGTACCCAGGAGGAGGGGCTAAGAGGTAAGGAGTGGTTATAAGGATTATGGGATATGTGGTTAGTTAACCCTTGAAGGTCCGGGTGATCAGGGAGACATAGTAGTTAGGCATTTATCATGACAAAGTTTGGGAAGACTTACTTGCCAATGAGTGGAATGGCGAAGGAGGTGGCCGGGAGGCGCTGAGAAATCAGCAGCAGAAAGACCGACTGAGCCAAGAGGATGGAGATAGCCAAAGTCATCTTCTCCCCACCTGGAAAACATGAGGAGAATTGAACCTTAGAACACCTGCACCAATTTTTGACACCTCTTCGCTTCCTAGATTTATTGCCTTTTGGAAATCCATCCAAGCATGTTTCCTTTGCACCCCCATCAGCTGTTCAATAGGTTCCCCTTAATAAAGTTAATAAATAGAGGTAGTCCTCAACTTATGACCGCAATTCAGTCCAACGTTCCAGCTGCTAAGCGAGACCGTTACTCGGTGAGTTTTGCCCCATTTTACAACCTTTCTCGCCACTGTTGTTAAGGGAATCACTGCAGTTATCCAGTTAATATCACTGTTTTTAAGTGAATCTGGCTGTCCCATTGATTTTGCTAGTCAGAAGGTTGCAAAAAAGGGATCACGCCAGTGGTGAAATCCAATTTTTTTTACTACCGGTTATGTGGGCGTGGCTTGGTGGGAATGGTGTGGCTTGGTGGGCATGGCAGGGGAAGGATACTGCAAAATCTCCATTCCAACCCCACTCCAGGGAGAAGGATATTGCAAAATCTCCATTCCCACCCCGCACCTGGGAGAAGGATACTGCAAAATCTCCATTCCCACCCCACTCCTGGGAGAAGGATACTGCAAAATCTCCATTCCCACCCCACTCCTGGGAGAAGGATATTGCAAAATCTCCATTCCCACTCCACTCCTGGGGAAGGATACTGCAAAATCTCATTCCCACCCCACTCCTGGGAGAAGGATATTGCAAAATCTCCATTCCTACTCCATTCTGGGACCAGTCAAAGGTGGTATTTGCCGGTTCTCCGAACTACTCAAAATTTCTGCTGCCGGTTCTCCAGAACCTATCAGAGCGTGCTGGATTTCACCCCTGGATCACATGTCATAAATATGAATCAGTTGCTGTCATAAATATGAATCAGTTGCCAAGCATCCAAATTTTCATCACCTGACCATGGGAGATGTTTTTCATAAGGGTGAAAAACAGTTATAAGTCCCTTTTGTCGGTGCCATTGTAACTTCGAACGGTCACTAAATGAACTGTTGTAAGTCGAGGACTACCTATACATAGATCGGCCGAACTGGACCTCAGCAGGAAGTCTAGGATGCTGAAAAGAGCCGCTTACTGTCAGCCGGCAAGTAGAAGACGAGGATGATCATGAAGGCGATGAGGATGCAGGGAGTGACTATGTTGATGATGTAAAAGAGAGGTTTGCGCTTAATGATAAGGTAGAAGGTGATGTCCTGGTATTTGTTGCTGTCTCGAGGGACAAGCGGATCGATGTTTTTGCGAGCCGGTCGGTGAATAATCTCCCATTCGCCATTTTCTGATTGTGGCAGAGAGAGGGGGAGGAGAGGGAGAGGAAGGGAGAGAGGGAGAGAGAGAGAGAGGAGAGAGAGAAAGGGGAGAGAGGGGGAAGAGAGAAGAGAAAGAGGAGAGAGAAAAAGGAGAGAGGAGAGAGAGAGAGGAGAGAAGAGAGAGGGAGAAAAGTGAGAGAAGAGAGAAAAAAGAGAGGAGAGACAGAAGAGAGAAAGAGAAAGAGAGGAGAGACAGAGAAAAGAGAGAGAGGAGAGAGGGAAGAGGGAAGAGAGAGAAAGGGGAGAGAGAAGAGAAACAAGAGGAGAGAGAAGAGAGAGAGAGAGAGAAGTGAGAGAGCGAGAGGGAAGAGAGAGAGAAAGGGGAGAGAGGGAAGAGAGAAGAGAAAGAGAGAGAAGAGAAAAACAGGAGAGGGAAGAGAGAGAGGGAGAAAAGTGAGAGAGAAGAGAGGAGAGGGAAAAGAGAGAGAGAAAGTGGAGAAAGAAAAAGAAAGAAGAGAGAGAGGGAGAAAAGTGAGAGAGAAGGGAGAAAAAAGAAAGAGGAGAGATGGAGAAGAGACAGAGAGAGAGAGAAGAGACAGAGAAAAGAGAGAGAGGAGAGAGGGAAGAGGGAAAAGAGAGAAAGGGGAGAGAGAGGGAAGAGAGAAGAGAGAGAAGAGACAGAGAAAAGAGAGAGAGGAGAGAGGGAAGAGGGAAGAGAGAGAAAGGGGAGAGAGAGGGAAGAGAGAAGAGAAAAAAGAGGAGAGAGAAGAGAGAGAGGGAGAAAAGTGAGAGAGAAGAGAGGAGAGGGAAAAGAGAGAGAGAAAGGGGAGAGGGAAGAAAGAAGAGAAAGAGGAGAGAGAAAAAGAGGAGAGGAAGAGAGAGAGGGAGAAAAGTGAGAGAGAAGAGAGGAGAGGGAAGAGAGAGAGAAAGGGGAGAGAGGGAATAGAAAAGAGAAAGTGGAGAGAGAAAAAGAAAGAAGAAGGAGAGGGGGAGAGAAGAGAGAGAAGAGAGAAAAAAGAAAGGAGAGACGGAGAAGAGAGAGAGAGAAAGAAAGAAAGAGAAGAGACAGAGAAAAGAGAGAGAGGAGAGAGAGTGTAAGCCATTAAGCAGCTTAAAGAGGCTATCCCACTGGCCTTTCCAAACCATTCCCATAATCCCCAAGCAAATTTGAAGTCCAATAAATGTGCAAATTCAGAATAGAGCTGGAAGCGACCTTGAAGGTTTTCTATTCCAACCCTCTATTTCTCCCTTCTTCTTTTCTTCTTTGCATTTTTTCCCCATTATTTTTCCTTACTTCCTCTTTCGAAGTTTGTGATGGTTGACAGGCTAACATCCTCCTCTATTGATAAGCAGGCTAGGAGGGAGGAAACAGTAGGAATTAAGCCTCCATCATCCAGCATGACGACAGCAAAAACAACACAGCTGATTACAAGTGGGAGACTATTAACATGCGCAATGGCCAAATTGATTAATGGCGTATAAAGGCAGAGATCTCTGTAATGTTAGTTTAATACTCTTGACGATGTCAGCAGATGGCTGACAAAAGCTTAGTACAGAGGTCCTCAAAGTCCACAGGCCTTAAAGCTGCCAAGTTTGAGGACCTCTGGCTCAGTAGAATAAAAAAAAAAATCTTTTTGGGGCGGTCTTATTATTTCGGGGTGCATGGAGCAAGACAGAGCTCCTCTTGCCATCTTACCTGATTTCCAGCTCTGTCTCCCTAACCCTAACCAGAGGAAATGGCAGAGACCGGCTGTACATGCAGTTAAAATATTTTCAGGGAGGGCTTATTGTCGGGAGGGGGGGTTTATTTTAGCGCATGCGCTCAAAAGCCCGATTGGGCTTATTATCAGGGGATGTCTTATTTTTGGGGAAAAAGGGTGTATATATGCGACTGCTTGAGGGCTCCTGGATTAGAGCTGAAAGGCGAATGGGGTGCAGTATGCTCCCTCCCACATGCTGGGATAGACCAGGTGTCTCGATAGAAAACACACACACACACACACACACACACACACACACATACACACACACATATATATGTAGGTCTTTGGTTATTCAGGTTTTCACCCGCGTAAAATTGGAAGTGTCTTGGTGACGTTTCGACAAACTCTCATTCGTCATCTTCATTCGTGGTGGTGCTTTAGGCTTCGTGCTTCTAGGAGCAATGTTCTAGCAATGTTCTAGCGTTGCTCCTAGAAGCACGAAGCCGAAAACACCAGCCTGAAGATGACGAATGAGACTTCGTTGAAACATCGCCAAGACACTTCCAATTTTACACCGGAGAAAACCCGAATAGCCAAAGACCTACATACAAACACCCGCGAAAACCTCAGAAAAGGTTTTCGCGGGTGTTTGTATGTAGGTCTTTGGTTATTCGGGTTTTAAAAAGACCAGAACTATCGCCAAAACTGAACACTTTAACAACAGAATAATCAGAGAAGCCATCGAGATAGAAAAACGTCCACACAGCATGAATAAACGAGATGATACCTACCAGCCATTTGGAAACCCACCCTTATTGACAAACGAGTCCCTAACACAAAGAATGACACCAGACCCACACTCACGAGAGCCACACAGGATGTAACCACCACACATCCACGCAGAAAGCAGACTCAAACCCACACTGAGGATGAGGCACGACCGCGGACCAGAAGCCAGACCACAGCTGCATCATTAGCCCTTTTAAACTCCCCCAATCCTTACATGAAGCAGACTGACACCCACCATGAAGAGGATAGCACGGCCACGAACACGAAGCCAAACAACAGCAACACAGCTCACACCAGCTCAAATCCCCCTGCTACTCAGACTAACCCGAGCACAACCAAGCCCCCACCTAAACAGAACACACACCCATCCAATCAGAGCACAGCCAACCCCCCATCCAATCAGAGCACAGCCAAACCCCCAACCAATCAGAACGCACCTCCACCCAATCAGAACACAGCCAAGCTCCCACCCAATCAGTTCACACCCCCACTGGCAGTTAAAAGGAAGAAACAGCTGCGATCACACACATTGCTCCTAGAAGCATGAAGCCGAGAACACCAGCCTGAAGATGACGAATGAGACTTCGTCGAAACGTTGCCAAGACACCTCCAATTTTACGCGGGAGAAAACCCGAATAACCAAAGACATATATATATATATATATTTTTTTCTGAGGTTTTCGCGGGTGTTTGTATGTAGGTCGATGTCATATCCCTCTTCACCCAAGTGCCAATCAAAGAAGCCCTGACAGCTATCCAAAACAAATATAACCCCCCCAAGCACATTCTAGATCTGACCAACCACTGCCTATCCAACACATACTTCATCTATAACGGACAAAAATACAAACAAATAGAAGGAGCACCCATGGGATCACCCCTCTCACCTGTCATTGCTAACCTCTACATGGAACACTTTGAAACCCAAGCTCTAGAAAAATCTGATCACAAACCCAAACTCTGGCTCAGATGCGTAGATGACACCTTCATAATCTGGCCACATAGGAAAGAAAAACTGGACAACTTCCTCACACATCAACAGCCTACACCCCAAAATACAGTTTACCATGGAAACAGAAGCGAACAACCAACTTCCCTTCCTGGATTTCTTAGTCTACAGGAAATCCAATGGCTCCCTAGGACACACCATCTACCAGAAGAAAACACACACAAACCGCTATCTGCACGCACTCTCACACCACCACCCAGCACAGATCAACTCCGTAGCCAAGACACTCAACTCCAGAACAAAACGCTTAGCTGACGAACAACACCTAAAAACCGAACTACACACTCTCACTAACGTATTAACATCCAATGGATTCCAAAGAAATAAGATTACCAACCTAAACCAAAAAGAAACCCCCACTAAAATCCAAGACAGAGAACAAGAAAACGGCAAAGCCCTCCTACCATACATAAAAGGCACCACCGACAGAATCAGCAAATCCTCCACAAACACAACATCAAGACAGCATTCTTCACAAACCAAAAATATCCACCATCCTAAGAAACCCCAAAGACAAAATTGAATTAGAAAATCAAGGAGTATATGAAATCCCATGCACCGCCTGCCCCACCACATACATCGGACAAACCAACAGAAGAATAAGTGCACGCATTGAAGAACACAAGAACTCAGTTAAGAAAGAGAAACCAACTTCGTCCTGGTCCAACACCTTAAAGCCACAGGACATGATATTGACTTTAAAAAGACCAGAACTATCGCCAAAACCGAACACTTTAACAACAGAATAATCAGAGAAGCCATCGAGGTAGAAAAACGTCCACACAGCATGAATAAACGAGATGATACCTCCCGCCTACCAGCCATTTGGAAACCCGCCCTTATTGACAAACGAGTCCCTAACACAAAGAATGGCACCTGACCCACACTCACGAGAGCCACACAGGATGTCACCACCACACATCCGCGCAGAAAGCAGACTCAAACCCACACTAATGATAAGACATGACCCCGGACCAGAAGCCAGACCACAGCTGCATCATTAGCCACTTTAAACCCCTCCAATCCATACATGAAGCAGACTGACATCCACCATGAAGAGGTAGCACGACCACGAACACGAAGCCAAACAACAGCAACACAGCTCACCAGCTCAAATCCCCCTGCTACTCAGACTAACCCGAGCACAACCAAGCCCCCACCTAAACAGAACACACACCCATCCAATCAGAGCACAGCCAACCCCCCATCCAATCAGAGCACAGCCAAACCCCCAACCAATCAGAACACACCTCCACCCAATCAGAACACAGCCAACCTCCCACCCAATCAGTTCACACCCCCACTGGCAGTTAAAAGGAAGAAACAGCTGCGATCACACACATTGCTCCTAGAAGCACGAAGCCGAAGACACCAGCCTGAAGATGACGAATGAGACTTCGTCGAAACGTTGCCAAGAAACCTCCAATTTTACGCGGGAGAAAACCCGAATAACCAAAGACCTTATATATATATATACAGTCGCAGCCAACATCTTGAAATTTCAGTCCCACTCTATGAATGCCTTGAAGGTTCAACAGAAAGGAAAGAAAGAAACTGCTGGAACAAGTAATAAAATATACATCATAACAAACCAAACATTGCTTCGACCCCAAAGCCTGGTTCATTTTACGACTCGCCAACCCACTTTGTGGCTTGTGGGAATTCGGCTGCTGTTTGAACCCTGTTCCTGGGACTCGAAAACCTCGGGTTAGAGCTTGTACCATCCGGCCTATTGCGGCTGCGCTTGCAAACCAGACTTAAAGCCGACCATGGCTTGTGTGATGTGAAAGCCACAGCAGCCTGCAAACATTTGTTACCTGTGAAACTTGCTGGGTCGATGATGATCCATTCCACCCAATACAAGGGCTCGGTGTCGTTATCTCTTTTTTGCAAGAGCTGCAGGTCGATCTCATTGGCGTTGTACCTCAGGGAGCTGGTGAAGACAGAGAGAAGTTCTTGTAACACCAAAGTAAGATTCCTAGCAGCACTTTCTGCAAATGCCCAAACTCAGTGGATTGTTAAGAAGCAGGGCAGGATAGGAATAGGAATAGGAATAGGAATAGGAATAGGAATAGGAATAGGAATAGGAATAGGAATAGGAATAGGAATAGGAATAGGAATAGGCATGGCATGGCATGGCATAGAAAACATGGAATGGAATGGAATGGAATGGAATGGAATGGAATGGAATGGAATGGGAGAGGGGAGGGGAGGGGAGGGGAGAGGAGAGGAGAGGAGAGGAGAGGAGAAGGGGAGAGGAGAGGAGAGGAGGAGAGGAGAGGAGAGGAGAGGAGAGGAGAAAAGAGAAGAGAAGAGAAGAAGAAGAGGAGAGGAGAGGAGGAGGGGAGGGGAGGAGAGGAGAAGAGAAGAGGAAAAGGAGAGGAGAGGAGGGGAGACGAGAGAGGAGAAGAGAAGAGAAATTAGAAAGGAGCGGAACAGAACAGAATAAAATGGAATGCAATGCAATGCAATAGAAATTAGTGGGAATGGAGTGAAATGGAGGAAGGAGGAGGAGGAGAAGGAGACGGAAGAAGAAAGGGAGGGAGGGAGGGAGGGAGGGAGGGAGGAAGGAAGGAAGGAAGAAAGAAAGAAAGAGGGAGGAAGGAAGGAAGGAAGGAAAGAAAGAAAGGAAGGAAGGAAGGAAGGAAGGAAGGAAGGAAGAAAGAAAAGAAAGAAGGAAAGAAAGAAAGAAGAATAATGCATACCAACATGCAAAGAAAACCCTCCAAGGGCAGGCTCAGTGGAACCCTGGATCTTTTTTCTGCTGTCAATTTCCTATGTTTTCTAGGTGGTTTTCAACCTTGGCCACTTGAAGAGCTGTGGACTTCAACTCCCAGAATTCCCCCAGCCAACTTACCAGAACTTCAGGGAACAATTCTGCCAGTCAAAGGGGAAGTAATTGACATTGATAGGACAGGCAGTGCGGAAAATGGAAGGAGGCACCCATTGGATGTCTCCGTTAGACTCCACCAGTATATTGGCAAGGTACGTGATCTTGAAGTTTCCGTCGTTGCTAAGAAAAGGAAAGAAAGACATGCAAGAGTGAGCGATGGTTCTTCTCAGCAGCTTCTTCGATTCCATCTCATGCAGGTTTTTCAAAGCAGTCCTTTCTGGCAGTTTGGGAATCGAGTCCCATCATCCCAATCCCATTTTCTGGACCCGTAATTACCATTTGGCTCAGGTAAAGTTTACAGAAACTAGAGTTTGAGAGAGAGAGAGAGAGAGAGAGAGAGAGAGAGAGAGAGAGAGAGAGAGAGGGAGGGAGGGAGGGAGGGAGGGAGGGAGAGAGAGAGAGAGAGAAATAGATGGATAGATAGAAAGAAATGGATATAAATAGATGATAGATGATGAGAGAAAGAGATGGATATAAATAAATGATAGATAGACAGACAGACAGACAGACAGACAGACAGACAGACAGACAGACAGGAAGAAAGAAATAGATGGATAGAAAGAAATAGATTGATATAAATAGATGACAGATGATGAGAGAGAAAGAGATGGATATAAATAGATGATAGATGGACAGAAAGAAAGAAAGAAAGAAAGAAAGAAAGAAAGAAAGAAAGAAAGAAAGAAATAGATGGATAGAAAGAAATAGATGGATATAAATAGATGATAGATGATGAGAGAGAAAGAGATGAATATAAATAGATGATAGATAGATAGAAAGAAAGAAATAGATGGATAGATAGAAAGAAATAGATGGATAAAATAGATGATAGATGATGAGAGAGAAAGAGATGGATATAAATAGATGATAGATAGATAGATAGAAAGAAAGAAATAGATGGATAGATAGAAAGAAATAGATGGATAGATAGAAATAGATGGATATAAATAGATGATAGATGATGAGAGAGAAAGAGATGGATATAAATAGATGATAGATAGATAGAAAGAAAAGGAAGAAATAGATGGATAGATAGAAAGAAATAGATGGATAGATAGAAATAGATGGATATAAATAGATGATAGATGATGAGAGAGAAAGAGATGGATATAAATAGATGATAGATAGATAGAAAGAAAGAAATAGATGGATAGATAGAAAGAAATAGATGGATATAAATAGATGATAGATGATGAGAGAGAAAGAGATGGATATAAATAGATGATAGATAGATAGATAGAAAGAAAGAAAGAAATAGATGGATAGATAGAAAGAAATAGATGGATAGATAGAAATAGATGGATATAAATAGATGATAGATAATGAGAGAGAGAGATGGATATAAATAGATGATAGAGATAGATAGATAATAGATAGATAGATAGATAGATATAAAGAGATGATGATAGATGATAAAAATAGAGAGAGAGAGAAGAGAGATAGATCAAAGATATGAGAGAGAGAGAGAGGGAGGGAGGGAGAGAGAGAGACTGCTGTTAAAGGCAAAACTCATTCAATTCTGGATGCCAACAAGATACTCACTTGTTCTCCAGAACAATTTCGGGCAGCCATAGCATATCCGGCCGGAGACGGAGCACACTGATGTTTCCATAGTCCGCCATGTTCCATCGCAGTCGATAATCGTTCCAGGACTGCTAACAAAACTGCTAGGGTTAGGGTCAGGGTTAGGGGTTAGGGGTTAGGTGTCACCGATTCACCCAGATCCCTCAGCCATCCGAAGGGTGATTTAAAGCTTGGCTGCCTTAAATCATCCGGGAGAAATGGGGTCACTCACATGCTCAAGCCAGGCGTTGACGGTGAGAGTTTCATCTGCTTCTTTCTGTATATAATTTTTTTATTATTATTAAAAAGTACAAGCAAACATACAAACGACAATAAAACATACAAAACAAATAGACATAAATCAAATCTATACATCTTTTTTTTTTAGACGTATCGCATCGGTAGTCTGTATTTATATTTATACTTTTTTTCTATCTTTTTCTAATATATTTTTTGTATCTATATTCCTAATACATCATCTCTGTACGTTTTCTTAATCTGCATATTTAATTTACTATGTTCCTTAATTGGTACTTAATATTTTATCTATAATTTTTATTTTCTCATTTGTATCCCTATCCTTATTTTCCTTTCTTCTTCTCCAACCAGTTATACCATTTCTGCCATACTAAATAGTCCGTTTCCTCCTGTTCCTGTATTTCCTTCGTAAGTTTGTCCATTTCTGCACATTCCATAATTTTACTAATTATTTTATCTTCTATTGGTATATCCTCATTCTTCCAATTCTGGGCAAAAACTATTCGAGCTGCTGTTAGTATATGAATAATTAGATATTTTATTTCTTTTTCGTATTGTCCTGTAATTATTCCTAATAAAAAGGTTTCTGGCCTCATTTCTATTTTCTGGTGTATGATTTCCTCTATTTGTATCTTGATTGCTTGCCAAAATTGTTTTGCTTTCTGACAGGACCACCACATGTGGTAGTAGGTTCCTTTTTGAAGTCTGCATTTCCAACATATTGGGGAGGTGTTTGGAAACATTCTTGCCACTCGAGCGGGCGGGAGATGCCACCTATAGAACATTTTTTACATATTCACTTTGTAGGATACAGACATCGTTAGCTTATAATTTACATTCCATAATTTTTCCCATTTTTCCAATTCAATGTTATATCTGAATTTTTTCATCCAAGTTATCATATTCAGTTTGTGCAACCTTTTTGGAATGACAGCAGATTTAAAAGAAATTTCAGAATAATAGAGTTGGAAGGGACCTTGGAGGTCTTCTAGTCCAACCCTCTGTTCAAGCAAGAGACCCCACCCATTTCTCCAAAAAAGACAATTTTAAGCAAAAATAGTGTCCATCGTCTTAATAGGGGCTAATAGCCTTGTACAGAAAGTACAGGTGATCCTCGACTTACAACTGTTCTCTTAGCGACCATTCAAAGTTACAACGGCCATTGAAAAAAGTGACTTAGGACCATTTTTCACACTTACGACCATTGTAGCATTTCCCCATGGTCACGCGATTGATTATTATTATTATTATTAATTAAATTTCTATACCGCCCTTCTCCAATAGGACTCAGGGCGGACCCACCCCTGGTGTGCTCACACATTTTTTGGTGTGTGGCAAACCCGTGGTAAAATTATGTGAAACCCACCTTAGATGAGAAGACATTTCGCTTCTCATCTAAGAAGCTTCTTCAGTTCTGGCTGGATGATGGAGGATGGTCGGATGTATATTCCTTGCCGTCATCTGGTGGTTATCACTCTTTTGGAGACTCGTTGAGGTGACTTGGAGGTTTATCTGTGTCCTCAGGGTCACCTGAATAGTAGAGATGGGTGTGGAACTTTCTTGGAACTGCTGAAATGGATGAGGAGCAAAATGTCTCCAAGGAAAGATGAAGTCCAGTTGCCCTTTGGAAGGGAAAAATAAGCATTTTGGGACACCAGCAACAGAATATTTCCTTATAGCTTTATTTTTCCGGATGTCCACTTTAAGAAAGGTTGAAAATCTTCTACCAACCCACCAATTATGGTGTTCTTTTCGTTCTGTCTTTGTAGATCTGTCCTTTTGGGGTCTTCTTTCTAATCGTACTTTTTAAAGATCCATGCAAGTAAGAAGAGACACCCCCAATTCTTGAGAATGCAGGCAAAAGAAAATGTATTTTTTTCCCTCCCAAGTCCAGTCCAACTATAATTATATTATGCTTAAATTGCTAATAGTGGCAGATATGTTTATTAGTGGAAGGATGTCAACTCTTGCTCTGAAGGGCTAGTTGGAACTTAACCTTCTAATTTCCCATTTTGTCTGTGCCCGATACTGACCTGGCTTTATTAAGGAAACCGATCTGCGTCATGTGAGAACAATTATGGAGCCTCATTTTCCTGTGCGCTTCATGAAAATTGTCATTTCTCAAATTCTAGCACTTATGCAGTCTTTTTTTCCCCCTTGGTTATGGAGGAGCCAGTGAGAACCAGGGCAAAGATTTGAGGTAGTGAAGTAATTTTGTCCAGTTAACTATTAGCTATGTGTTTTCCTTCCTTCCTTCCTTCCTTCCTTCCTTCCTTCCTTCCTTCCTTCCTTCCTTCCTTCCTTCCTTCCCACCTCGCTCCCTCCCTCCCTCCCTCCATCTATTCATTTCCTTCCTTCCTCCTTCCTTCCCTCCCTCCCTCTATTCATTTCCTCCCTTCCCCCCTCCCTCCCTCCCTTCCCTCCTTCCTTGTCACAATTCTATCTCTATCCTCCTTTTATGCCTTAATATTTCTTTAGATTGTTGGTTTATGTTGGTTTTCCTGTGTACGCTGTGTAAAAACTGTAATCATATTATTTGAAGCAAAATTTGACATGCCATATTAGACAGCTTTTGCTAAGATGTAACGCAGGGATCCAGTCCTGCGAATATCCGTCGAAATGAAAGTAAGCTAGAGCTAGCTTAATTCTTTGGGTTTCAGCAAGTTTATTCTAAAGGAAATGAATACAGTTGATTGCTTCTCAAGGTATTTTGTAGGAACACTGTGTACTATATTTAGAGCATAGTTTTTACTTGTCTTGCACCTACTATATAAAGCAGCTGATTTCCTACAACTCAACAGTAATCTTCTTGGTGAATAATGCTAGCAAATATAAGGGGATCTCACGGGTAGGCTTCAAAAATTTTAGCAAGGGGTTCTCTGCCGGTTGCTGGGTGGGCGTGGCCTAGTTGGCCTCTTGCACCATAGCGGAGGGGGCATTTTTGCCCTCCCCGGGCTCCAGAGGCTTTCCTTGAGCCTCCGGGAGGGTGAAAATGGTCTCCCCAGGCTCCAGAGGCCCTCTGGAGGCTGGAAACGGGTCCATTTCCAGCCTTCCTGAACTTCTAGTAGGCCCATTTTTTTCCCCAAGCCTTCCCACGCACCCTGCACTTACCTGCATCCAAAACAGACTGTGTGGGGACTCCTGGGAGGGGCGGGGCAGGGTGGGCGGGGCCAGCCAGGAGTGGGATTTGGGGGTTCTCAGAACTGCACAGTATCTTAGCTAGAGGTTCTCCCGAACCCCTGCAAACCCCCTACCCCAGGGTAGGCTGTAAATTTCCTTGTTTTAATCAACTAGTTTTTAAAGGCTTTATGTTTTATGAGACGTTATGATCTCCCATTGATGCAAATATGTAAGGATTTAAAAAAAACAACAACAACTTTGCCTCTTCCAGTATCTAAGATGGATTTTGGAATTTCTGAAATAAATCCTCAGATTTGAGTGGCTTTTCACAAGGGACTGTATGTTTTGTAGTAGTAGTTTTACGGTGATAAACTAACGATACCAAAAGTGCTTTTTGTTGCCATTCACAAATTTCATTTGATTCGGGCTAAATGGAAAACAATGACACTGTAGAATCATATTCTTGGTAACAACTTTTGCTTTCCAATTCTGAATTTTTCTTGAATATTCTTTGAGTAAAATGGGACCTGCAACATAGCCGGGCTTTAATTAATTTTGGTATTATTACAATTGCTTCTTTTTTATATATATAAAAGTTTTTTATTTTTATTTCTCATAAAACATATATAACGTACAATAACCATTCTTATCACATAGATTATCTTTTGGTTTCCATATTGGTTCATTCTTCATCCTAAAACTTTAAAGTACATTCGGAGTTGCTCTTCTACCATTCCATATTTCCCGTCTTCCACAACAACCATTCCTCTCCTTCTCCCCTCTTATCCTTCCTTCCCTCCCTTCTATTCTTTAATCTTAAACTGAGATCAGGCAATAGTCCACTTAATGCGTTCACACAACACAAAAATCTTAAACAGATCAGGTAGCAGCTCACTTAATGCCTTCACACAACACGTTTACCATCTGTTAGCTTTGCACAGTGGGTGTTTTTTTTTTACATATTTGGGTATTGTGCTTGAATGCAGGTAATCCTCCACTTAGTTCCTTTAGTGACAATTTGATGTTACAACGGCACTGAGAAAACTTGACTTATGACCCCTTTTCACACATACGACCGTTGCAGCATCTCCAGGGTCACACGATGTACATTCAGATGCTTGGCCACCGGTTCCTATTTATGACGGCCGCAGTGTCCCCGAGGTCACCTGATCCCCTTTTGCGACCTTCCGACAAACAATGGGGAAAGCCAGATTCACTTAACAGCTGTGGCAAGAAAAGTCGTAAAATGGGTTGAAACTCACTTAACAAATGTCTCAGCAACAGGTGTGGCCTTACTTGGGCTTTACAGCCCAAGTATGAGGTATTAGTACCTCCCTTGATTGATTGATTGATTGATTGATTGATAATTCAATCCCTCTGTTAATGCAATTGACCCCTCCCCTCTTCTTCTGCAGCCCCTCAAATACAGGAATATTGCTCTCATGTCACCCTTGGTCCTCCTTTTCTCTAGGCTGTTTGAAAACTAATTTGATCATAGTCTAGAGAATAGAATAAAACTAAGAGTCTTAGAAGTTGTGGGAATTCGCTGTTTAGCAGAGTGATGGCATGGAGGAAAAAACTGTCCTTGTGTCTAGTTGTTCTGGTGTGCAGGGCTCTATAGCGTCGTTTTGAGGGTAGGAGTTGAAAGAGTTTACGTCCAGGATGTGAGGGGTGTGTAAATATTTTCCCAGCCCTCTTTTTGACTCGTGCAGCATACAGGTCCTCAATGGAAGGCAGGTTGGTAGCCATTGTTTTTTCTGCAGTTCTAATTATCCTCTGAAGTCTGTGTCTGTCCTGTTGGGTTGCAGTTATAGAGGTGCAGTTGACAGACTCAGTAGTTCCTCTGTAGAACTGGATCAGCAGCTCCTTGGGCAGTTTGAGCTTCCTGAGTTGGCGCAGAAAGTACATTCTTTGTTGAGCTCTTTTGATGACGTTTTGGATGTTAGCTGCCCATTTTAGATCTTGCGATATGGTAGAACCTAGAAATTTGAAGGTCTCTACTGTATTTTTTTTTTTTTAATTTATTTGATTTATATGCCGCCCTTCTCCGGAGACTCAGGGCGGCTTACAATGCGTTAAGCAATAGCCTTCATACATTTATTTATTTATTTATTTATTTATTTATTTATTTATTTATTTATTTATTTATTTATTTATTTATTTTAAATTTGTATACCGCCCTTCTCTGTGAGGACTCAGGGCGGTGAACAGCCAAGTAAAAACATAAACTACAAACATTAAAATACAATTAAAAAGATATATATAAATTTGGCTCCATGATTAAAAACATCTCTGGAGGTAGATCGTTCCAGAGGGTAGGTGCCACCACAGAGAAGGCTCTCCCCCTGAGGGTCGCCAGCCGACATTGTCTGGCCGACGGCACCCTGAGGAGGCCCTCTCTGTGGGAGCGAACCGGTCGGTGGGAGGCAATTGGTGGCAGAAGGTGGTCCCGTAAGTACCCTGGCCTTTTGTATATATTTATACAAAGTCAGCTTATTGCCCCCACAAACTGGGTCCTCAATTTACCCACCTTAGAAAGGATGGAAGGCTGAGGCGACCTTGAGCCTGGCGAGATTCGAACTTACAGTAATTGCAGGCAGCTGGTGTTAATCACAATACTATCAATCTGCTGTGTTGTCTAGTATTGTGAGAGGTGGAAGTATGGGAGGGTTTCTCCTAAAGTCTACCACCATTTCTA